ATTGACCCACGACCCTTGTATTGACCCACGACCCTTGAATTTGCCCACGACCCTTGTATTGACCCACGACCCCTGTATTGACCCACGTCCCATACTAAGCTGCCGGTTGAACCCGTACCCGGACACGCGTCTAATCCCGGCGTACACCCGTGGGGTACACACGAGAGTTTGTGGCCCTTCATGTCCACACAATGCCGGGCTTACAGCGCGCGGACGAGCTAGAGGACAGCCAGTCCCTGTCAACCGTCTACCCACTGCCTACGTCAGGCGCCTTTGATCCCCGACTTGATATTAACCTTTGACGAGCGCGGACACAAAAGATGAAAGAGGAATCCCGATCAGCGTACGTACACATGCCGGTTTCATCAGGACGGCTTCAACGTGCCGGAAATAAATAGCCGGCTTGAACATGCCGGCTTGAACATACCGACATCGCTTAGCGTATATGTAGTAACAGTGACAATCCTGACATCACGTGACAACACGTGTGACAAAGTCCGGTTGTTGTCAGTGTCATGTGACAATGACGACATGACTGCCAGTCGCCGGCTAATCCGTCTGATCTCTGCTGCTACAATGAAGCAGACGACAGCAGAGCGCCGTGTTGTTTGACTTCCATCACGTGCTTTCTATGGCTCGGCTGATTGGTCGCACGGTGAGAAACTCCGCCCGCAAACAGTCCTTTACCGCCACGCGTGCTTAACAAACAGAAATAATGTAGCGCCCTCTAGCGGGGGGGGGGGGGGGGCTGAACAAACAGAAATAATGTAGCGCCCTCTAGCAGGGGGGGGGGGGGCTGAACAAACAGAAATAATGTAGCGCCCTTTAGCAGGGGGGGGGGCTGAACAAACAGAAATAATGTAGCGCCCTCTAGCAGGGGGGGGGGGGTATGTTTGCCCACACACGTCGACTTTAGGAAAACCAACGTGACGGCTGGACCTTCAAAGGACGAAACAATTATTGCTACCCGGGACGGTGGGGGGGGGGGGGGGGGGGGGCGACAAACGGGATAAGTCAGGGGAGATAATAACATAACAAATCGGTTAAGTCAGGGGAGATAATAACATAACAAATCGGTTAAGTCAGGGGAGATAATAACATAACAAATCTGTTAAGTCAGGGGAGATAATAACATAAATCGGTTGCCGGTGAAGACAGGGATATGAGACAGCTGATGTCTTTTCTTCCCAGGTGTTTGTCGGCTGTTTGTGCAGTCGGCTATTTGTGTCAGGTATTTAGCCTAGTCTGTGTCAGGTATTTAGCCTAGTCTGTGTCAGGTATTTAGCCTAGTCTGTGTCAGGTATTTAGCCTAGTCTGTGTCAGGTATTTAGCCTAGTCTGTGTCAGGTATTTAGCCTAGTCTGTGTCAGGTATTTAGCCTAGTCTGTGTCAGGTATTTAGCCTAGTCTGTGTCAGGTATTTAGCCTAGTCTGTGTCAGGTATTTAGCCTAGTCTGTGTCAGGTATTTAGCCTAGTCTGTGTCAGGTATTTAGCCTAGTCTGTGTCAGGTATTTAGCCTAGTCTGTGTCAGGTATTTAGCCTAGTCTGTGTCAGGTATTTAGCCTAGTCTGTGTCAGGTATTTAGCCTAGTCTGTGTCAGGTATTTAGCCTAGTCTGTGTCAGGTATTTAGCCTAGTCTGTGTCAGGTATTTAGCCTAGTCTGTGTCAGGTATTTAGCCTAGTCTGTGTCAGGTATTTAGCCTAGTCTGTGTCAGGTATTTAGCCTAGTCTGTGTCAGGTATTTAGCCTAGTCTGTGTCAGGTATTTAGCCTAGTCTGTGTCAGGTATTTAGCCTAGTCTGTGTCAGGTATTTAGCCTTCTGGCTGTGCCAGGTATTTAGCCTAGTCTGTGTCAGGTATTTAGCCTAGTCTGTGTCAGATATTTAGCCTAGTCTGTGTCAGGTATTTAGCCTAGTCTGTGTCAGGTATTTAGCCTAGTCTGTGTCAGGTATTTAACCTAGTCTGTGTCAGGTATTTAGCCTAGTCTGTGTCAGATATTTAGCCTAGTCTGTGTCAGGTATTTAGTCTTGTCTGGTTGTGTCAGGTATTTAGCCTTCTGGCTGTGCCAGGTATTTAGCCTAGTCTGGTTGTGTCAGACGTTGATCCCAGGATTGATCTGCCATTTGCCTGATGAGTTGCTCTGATTGAGTTACCTGCCCCTGATGAATTGCTCTCATTGAGTTACCTGCCCCTAATCCGTGCGACCGCTGACAATAGCCCGGCTTCCTGTCTTAAATGTTCACGCATGCGCAGCGCCGGAAATTTCCCGTGGCTGCTGGTGAAATGAGATGAGCCCTAACGTGACGTTTGTTCCTTTAATCTGCGTCACTTCCTGCCGGTCACGTGCTCATGACACTTCCGGTCGGCATCAAACCGCTAGATAGAGACCTTTGTCAGGCGGTGCCATTTGCTAATTGTTGCCAGACTTTCCTGGGCTGCTGGGCGGGGGGGGGGGGGGGGGTAAGGTAATTGTGTGGGGAGATGTGAGGGCTAGAGGTGGGGGGGACGGAAAACGTTAAAAGTATATAGTTTCTATATATATTCTATATAGCCTTGTAAGTATGTGTATACTCATGTATGTATCTTTTTTTACTTCAAATTGTAATGCATAGGAAAATGAGTAACCTAGCGACAAATACTTTTTTTTTAATCCGTTAGAAGTTCTCTACCTTTTATGGGTATACTTAATTTTGTAATCAAATTATTTTAATTTAACATAACCCATAGCGATTTGCAACTCTTTTAATGGTGCAAAAAAAAAAAGTGTCAAAATTTGTCAATATGGCAAGCCAACCAGTTCTATCTATCTGTTGCTCATGTTTTGTTGCAAATGGTGTCCATTATTCATTTCAGTCTCATAAGTTTTTTAACTTAATTTATTTACAATGTATTAATACATTTCAAAAGTGTGTTATTTTGTAACACGCACTTTTAAATAGTGATTAAAGAACAAAATGTTTTCATTTGAATTATTACATATTGAAACATATGACAATGACACAAATCCGTGAAAAAGATATAAATTTATTTTGGCCATATAGATTTCTAGCACACAACTTTTAGTAGAATAGAGAAATAACCCTTTCAACAAATAATGAATAACAAAATCGGTTAGAAAATAATAACACTAAGTGGGAATGGCAACTCGAGATATAAACATGACTTTTAAGCCATTTTTAATTACTTAAACTTTTTTAAAATAGAATTTCGTACAAAAATAATTGAGCACCAATTGAACGGCAAATAACATGTGTATAATAGTGCGGAATACCATTAGTACATTATAAATCCATATGCATTTTTTGAGAATTCGGAAATAGGAAAATTACTACTTCCGGTCAACGGAAATTACTCAAAATTTGAAAGAAGGCAGAGAATTAGATCTTTTACTTATTTGTGAAATTTCGTCAATCTATCTGAAACGGTACTCAAGTTATGGGCTTTTGAAAAACTAAAAGTAGAACAAGCTCCACTTACGGTTATCGGAAATTGCTGAAATGTTGATATAGAGCAAACAATTTGACATAATACTTATATGTGACATTTCACCAACCTAGCTGTACTGAGGTGTAAAACGATGAAAGCTGAAAATTTCATGTGATTTTTTGCACGATTCCAATACTTCCCGGTAATAAACCGGGAGTGATCTCCCCTAAACTTTCTCGAATATTCTAATATAACACTACGTGGGATGGCAACTCGGAATATAGACATGATTTTTGTTTACTTAATCTTTTAAAAATAGAATAAAATGTAGTAGAAAAATGAATTGCGCACCAAGCGAACGCCAAAACAAAATGTTCATAATAGTGCGCAATATTATTAGTACTTTATAAATTTACATTCGTTTTTTGAGAAATCGGAAATTGCGTAAATTAGTACTTACGGTCAACGAAAATTATTCGAAATTTGATAATAGGTAGAGAATTAGATCTTTTACTTACATGTGAAATTTCATTTATCTATCTGAAATAGTACTCAAGTTATACGCTTTTGAAAAATTCAAAGTAGAAAAAGTACCACTTCCGGTTATCGGAAATTGCTCAAAAGTTGATATGGATCTACGATTTTGATAAAATACCTGTATATGAAATTTCATCAACCTAGCTATAACGGTACTCAAGTTATCGTATTTACACACAGACACACACACACAGACAGACAGACACACAGACATACGGGCAAGATTGCAAAATTATGTTTTTCCGTATCAGTGAGATGTAAAACGTCGAGATTTGTAAAAATCTCGATTTTTTTGTTGTTGCACGATTACAAGACTTTCTCTATACTTCGTATATACGAGAAAGTAAAAAAGGAAAAATAAGAACATCGATACAACGATACACACGAAAACATACACACACTCATGTAGGCTGTTGTATAATAATTTACTTGATCGAATGATATTTAGATTTGTAAATTTCTTAAGTGGTTTCACCCTAATCCACTTCGGGGGACGTTGCTTTTGGTGTCACCTCCCTAAATTTTTGTCGAATGGCATCAATTCCTGCAATTCTGCAAACATTATATTAACCCGCAAGCTTACGGACGGTGATAGTTGCCTTCTAGAGATCGCAAGTTACACATATCTGTCCCTTGTGTGTCTAGGGTGTGAGTGGAGGTGTGTGTGGGTATGGGTGTGTGTGTGTGGGTGAGGGTGTGGGTGAGGGTGTGTGTGGGGGTGAGGGTGTGTGGGTGTGGGTGAGGGTGTAGGTGAGGGTGTGTGTGGGGGTGAGGGGGTGGTATAGGTGTGTGTGTGGGTGAGGGTGTGGATGAGGGTGTGGGTGAGGGTGTGTGTGGGGGTGAGGGTGTGGGTGAGGGTGTGTGGGTGTGGGTGGGTGAAGGTGTGGGTGAGGGTGTGGGTGTGTGGGTGTGGGTGAGGGTGTGTGCTTGGGTGTGTGTGGGGGTGTGTGTGGGTGATGGTGTGTGTGTCTGGGGTGTGAGTGGAGGTGTGGGTGAGTGTGGTGTAACAGACAACTGACAGCTGTCCCACGTGTTACAGCCTCCACCAGTCCCCGGCTGTCTGAGCTGTCCAACAGCCCGAGACCAGGCTCTACAGAGATCTGCGCCGTGGGCTCCCCCTCCCCCAGCCTCTCGCCCGGCGGGGGGCCTATCAAGAAAAACACACCAGGTATGTGATGGGGAGGTGGAGGGGGGGAGTAGTGTCATATCATGTCATAGGGATAGCAGGAGTGTAACCAGGTCTGATGTGTGTAGTGTGTCCCCAGGTCTGATGTGTGTAGTGTGTAGTGTGTCCCCAGGTCTGATGTGTGTAGTGTGTCCCCAGGTCTGATGTGTGTAGTGTGTAGTGTGTCCCCAGGTCTGATGTGTGTAGTGTGTAGTGTGTCCCCAGGTCTGATGTGTGTAGTGTGTCCCCAGGTCTGATGTGTGTAGTGTGTCCCCAGGTCTGATGTGTGTAGTGTGTCCCCAGGTCTGATGTGTGTAGTGTGTCCCCAGGTCTGATGTGTGTAGTGTGTCCCCGTCTGATGTGTGTAGTGTGTCCCCAGGTCTGATGTGTGTAGTGTGTAGTGTGTCCCCAGGTCTGATGTGTGTAGTGTCTAGTGTGTCCCCAGGTCTGATGTGTGTAGTGTGTCCCATGGTCTGATGTGTGTAGTGTGTAGTGTGTCCCCAGGTCTGATGTGTGTAGTGTGTAGTGTGTCACCAGGTCTGATGTGTGTAGTGTGTCCCCAGGTCTGATGTGTGTAGTGTGTAGTGTGTCCCCAGGTCTGATGTGTGTAGTGTGTCCCCAGGTCTGATGTGTGTAGTGTGTCCCCAGGTCTGATGTGTGTAGTGTGTCCCCGTCTGATGTGTGTAGTGTGTCCCCAGGTCTGATGTGTGTAGTGTGTAGTGTGTCCCCAGGTCTGATGTGTGTAATGTGTCCCCAGGTCTGATGTGTGTAGTGTGTAGTGTGTCCCCAGGTCTGATGTGTGTAGTGTGTCCCCAGGTCTGATGTGTGTAGTGTGTAGTGTGTCCCCAGGTCTGATGTGTGTAGTGTGTCACCAGGTCTGATGTGTGTAGTGTGTCCCCAGGTCTGATGTGTGTAGTGTGTCCCCAGGTCTGATGTGTGCAGTGTGTAGTGTGTCCCCAGGTCTGATGTGTGTAGTGTGTAGTGTGTCCCCAGGTCTGATGTGTGTAGTGTGTCCCCAGGTCTGATGTGTGTAGTGTGTCACCAGGTCTGATGTGTGTAGTGTGTCCCCAGGTCTGATGTGTGCAGTGTGTAGTGTGTCCCCAGGTCTGATGTGTGTAGTGTGTAGTGTGTCCCCAGGTCTGATGTGTGTAGTGTGTCCCCAGGTCTGATGTGTGTAGTGTGTAGTGTGTCCCCAGGTCTGATGTGTGTAGTGTGTAGTGTGTCCCCAGGTCTGATGTGTGTAGTGTGTCCCCAGGTCTGATGTGTGTAGTGTGTAGTGTGACCCCAGGTCTGATGTGTGTAGTGTGTCCCCAGGTCTGATGTGTGTAGTGTGTAGTGTGTCCCCAGGTCTGATGTGTGTAGTGTGTCCCATGGTCTGATGTGTGTAGTGTGTCCCCAGGTCTGATGTGTGTAGTGTGTCCCCGTCTGATGTGTGTAGTGTGTCCCCAGGTCTGATGTGTGTAGTGTGTAGTGTGTCCCCAGGTCTGATGTGTGTAGTGTGTCCCCAGGTCTGATGTGTGTAGTGTGTCCCCAGGTCTGATGTGTGTAGTGTGTCCCCAGGTCTGATGTGTGTAGTGTGTAGTGTGTCCCCAGGTCTGATGTGTGTAGTGTGTCCCCAGGTCTGATGTGTGTAGTGTGTCCCCAGGTCTGATGTGTGTAGTGTGTAGTGTGTCCCCAGGTCTGATGTGTGTAGTGTGTCCCCAGGTCTGATGTGTGTAGTGTGTCCCCAGGTCTGATGTGTGTAGTGTGTAGTGTGTCCCCAGGTCTGATGTGTGTAGTGTGTCCCCAGGTCTGATGTGTGTAGTGTGTAGTGTGTCCCCAGGTCTGATGTGTGTAGTGTGTCCCCAGGTCTGATGTGTGTAGTGTGTCCCCAGGTCTGATGTGTGTAGTGTGTCACCAGGTCTGATGTGTGTAGTGTGTCCCCAGGTCTGATGTGTGTAGTGTGTAGTGTGTCCCCAGGTCTGATGTGTGTAGTGTCTAGTGTGTCCCCAGGTCTGATGTGTGTAGTGTGTAGTGTGTCCCCGTCTGATGTGTGTAGTGTGTCCCCAGGTCTGATGTGTGTAGTGTGTAGTGTGTCCCCAGGTCTGATGTGTGTAATGTGTCCCCAGGTCTGATGTGTGTAGTGTGTAGTGTGTCCCCAGGTCTGATGTGTGTAGTGTGTCCCCAGGTCTGATGTGTGTAGTGTGTCCCCGTCTGATGTGTGTAGTGTGTCCCCAGGTCTGATGTGTGTAGTGTGTAGTGTGTCCCCAGGTCTGATGTGTGTAGTGTGTCACCAGGTCTGATGTGTGTAGTGTGTCCCCAGGTCTGATGTGTGTAGTGTGTCCCCAGGTCTGATGTGTGCAGTGTGTAGTGTGTCCCCAGGTCTGATGTGTGTAGTGTGTAGTGTGTCCCCAGGTCTGATGTGTGTAGTGTGTCCCCAGGTCTGATGTGTGTAGTGTGTCACCAGGTCTGATGTGTGTAGTGTGTCCCCAGGTCTGATGTGTGCAGTGTGTAGTGTGTCCCCAGGTCTGATGTGTGTAGTGTGTAGTGTGTCTCCAGGTCTGATGTGTGTAGTGTGTCCCCAGGTCTGATGTGTGTAGTGTGTCCCCAGGTCTGATGTGTGTAGTGTGTAGTGTGTCCCCAGGTCTGATGTGTGTAGTGTGTCCCCAGGTCTGATGTGTGTAGTGTGTCCCCAGGTCTGATGTGTGTAGTGTGTAGTGTGTCCCCAGGTCTGATGTGTGTAGTGTGTCCCCAGGTCTGATGTGTGTAGTGTGTCCCCAGGTCTGATGTGTGTAGTGTGTCCCCAGGTCTGATGTGTGTAGTGTGTAGTGTGTCCCCAGGTCTGATGTGTGTAGTGTGTCCCCAGGTCTGATGTGTGTAGTGTGTCCCCAGGTCTGATGTGTGCAGTGTGTAGTGTGTCCCCAGGTCTGATGTGTGTAGTGTGTAGTGTGTCCCCAGGTCTGATGTGTGTAGTGTGTAGTGTGTCCCCAGGTCTGATGTGTGTAGTGTGTAGTGTGTCCCCAGGTCTGATGTGTGTAGTGTGTAGTGTGTCCCCAGGTCTGATGTGTGTAGTGTGTAGTGTGTCCCCAGGTCTGATGTGTGTAGTGTGTCCCCAGGTCTGATGTGTGTAGTGTGTCCCATGGTCTGATGTGTGTAGTGTGTAGTGTGTCCCCAGGTCTGATGTGTGTAGTGTGTCCCCAGGTCTGATGTGTGTAGTGTGTCCCCGTCTTATGTGTGTAGTGTGTCCCCAGGTCTGATGTGTGTAGTGTGTAGTGTGTCCCCAGGTCTGATGTGTGTAATGTGTCCCCAGGTCTGATGTGTGTAGTGTGTAGTGTGTCCCCAGGTCTGATGTGTGTAGTGTGTCCCCAGGTCTGATGTGTGTAGTGTGTCCCCGTCTGATGTGTGTAGTGTGTCCCCAGGTCTGATGTGTGTAGTGTGTAGTGTGTCCCCAGGTCTGATGTGTGTAGTGTGTCACCAGGTCTGATGTGTGTAGTGTGTCCCCAGGTCTGATGTGTGCAGTGTGTAGTGTGTCCCCAGGTCTGATGTGTGTAGTGTGTAGTGTGTCCCCAGGTCTGATGTGTGTAGTGTGTCCCCAGGTCTGATGTGTGTAGTGTGTCCCCGTCTGATGTGTGTAGTGTGTCCCCAGGTCTGATGTGTGCAGTGTGTAGTGTGTCCCCAGGTCTGATGTGTGTAGTGTGTAGTGTGTCCCCAGGTCTGATGTGTGTAGTGTGTCCCCAGGTCTGATGTGTGTAGTGTGTCCCCAGGTCTGATGTGTGTAGTGTGTAGTGTGTCCCCAGGTCTGATGTGTGTAGTGTCTAGTGTGTCCCCAGGTCTGATGTGTGTAGTGTGTCCCCAGGTCTGATGTGTGTAGTGTGTAGTGTGTCCCCAGGTCTGATGTGTGTAGTGTGTCCCCAGGTCTGATGTGTGTAGTGTGTAGTGTGTCCCCAGGTCTGATGTGTGTAGTGTGTCCCCAGGTCTGATGTGTGTAGTGTGTCCCCAGGTCTGATGTGTGTAGTGTGTCCCCAGGTCTGATGTGTGTAGTGTGTAGTGTGTCCCCAGGTCTGATGTGTGTAGTGTGTCCCCAGGTCTGATGTGTGTAGTGTGTCCCCAGGTCTGATGTGTGTAGTGTGTCCCCAGGTCTGATGTGTGTAGTGTGTCCCCAGGTCTGATGTGTGTAGTGTGTAGTGTGTCCCCAGGTCTGATGTGTGTAGTGTGTAGTGTGTCCCCAGGTCTGATGTGTGTAGTGTGTAGTGTGTCCCCAGGTCTGATGTGTGTAGTGTGTAGTGTGTCCCCAGGTCTGATGTGTGTAGTGTGTAGTGTGTCCCCAGGTCTGATGTGTGTAGTGTGTCCCCAGGTCTGATGTGTGTAGTTTGTAGTGTGTCCCCAGGTCTGATGTGTGTAGTGTGTAGTGTGTCCCCAGGTCTGATGTGTGTAGTGTGTAGTGTGTCCCCAGGTCTGATGTGTGTAGTGTGTCCCCAGGTCTGATGTGTGTAGTGTGTCCCCAGGTCTGATGTGTGTAGTGTGTAGTGTGTCCCCAGGTCTGATGTGTGTAGTGTGTAGTGTGTCCCCAGGTCTGATGTGTGTAGTGTGTAGTGTGTCCCCAGGTCTGATGTGTGTAGTGTGTAGTGTGTCCCCAGGTCTGATGTGTGTAGTGTGTAGTGTGTCCCCAGGTCTGATGTGTGTAGTGTGTCCCCAGGTCTGATGTGTGTAGTGTGTCCCCAGGTCTGATGTGTGTAGTGTGTAGTGTGTCCCCAGGTCTGATGTGTGTAGTGTGTCCCCAGGTCTGATGTGTGTAGTGTGTCCCCAGGTCTGATGTGTGTAGTGTGTCCCCAGGTCTGATGTGTGTAGTGTGTAGTGTGTCCCCAGGTCTGATGTGTGTAGTGTGTAGTGTGTCCCCAGGTCTGATGTGTGTAGTGTGTCCCCAGGTCTGATGTGTGTAGTGTGTCCCCAGGTCTGATGTGTGTAGTGTGTCCCCAGGTCTGATGTGTGTAGTGTGTCCCCAGGTCTGATGTGTGTAGTGTGTCCCCAGGTCTGATGTGTGTAGTGTGTCCCCAGGTCTGATGTGTGTAGTGTGTCCCCAGGTCTGATGTGTGTAGTGTGTCCCCAGGTCTGATGTGTGTAGTGTGTAGTGTGTCCCCAGGTCTGATGTGTGTAGTGTGTCCCCAGGTCTGATGTGTGTAGTGTGTCCCCAGGTCTGATGTGTGTAGTGTGTCCCCAGGTCTGATGTGTGTAGTGTGTAGTGTGTCCTCAGGTCTGATGTGTGTAGTGTGTCCCCAGGTCTGATGTGTGTAGTGTGTCCCCAGGTCTGATGTGTGTAGTGTGTCCCCAGGTCTGATGTGTGTAGTGTGTAGTGTGTCCCCAGGTCTGATGTGTGTAGTGTGTAGTGTGTCCCCAGGTCTGATGTGTGTAGTGTGTAGTGTGTCCCCAGGTCTGATGTGTGTAGTGTGTAGTGTGTCCCCGTCTGATGTGTGTAGTGTGTCCCCAGGTCTGATGTGTGTAGTGTGTCCCCAGGTCTGATGTGTGTAGTGTGTAGTGTGTCCCCAGGTCTGATGTGTGTAGTGTGTCCCCAGGTCTGATGTGTGTAGTGTGTCCCCAGGTCTGATGTGTGTAGTGTGTAGTGTGTCCCCAGGTCTGATGTGTGTAGTGTGTAGTGTGTCCCCGTCTGATGTGTGTAGTGTGTCCCCAGGTCTGATGTGTGTAGTGTGTCCCCAGGTCTGATGTGTGTAGTGTGTAGTGTGTCCCCAGGTCTGATGTGTGTAGTGTGTAGTGTGTCCCCAGGTCTGATGTGTGTAGTGTGTCCCCAGGTCTGATGTGTGTAGTGTGTCCCCAGGTCTGATGTGTGTAGTGTGTCCCCGTCTGATGTGTGTAGTGTGTCCCCGTCTGATGTGTGTAGTGTGTCCCCGTCTGATGTGTGTAGTGTGTCCCCAGGTCTGATGTGTGTAGTGTGTCCCCAGGTCTGATGTGTGTAGTGTGTCCCCAGGTCTGATGTGTGTAGTGTGTAGTGTGTCCCCAGGTCTGATGTGTGTAGTGTGTCCCGAGGTCTGATGTGTGTAGTGTGTCCCCAGGTCTGATGTGTGTAGTGTGTCCCCAGGTCTGATGTGTGTAGTGTGTCCCCAGGTCTGATGTGTGTAGTGTGTCCCCAGGTCTGATGTGTGTAGTGTGTAGTGTGTCCCCAGGTTTGATGTGTGTAGTGTGTAGTGTGTCCCCAGGTCTGATGTGTGTAGTGTGTCCCCAGGTTTGATGTGTGTAGTGTGTCCCCAGGTCTGATGTGTGTAGTGTGTAGTGTGTCCCCAGGTCTGATGTGTAGTGTGTCCCCAGGTCTGATGTGTGTAGTGTGTCCCCAGGTCTGATGTGTGTAGTGTGTAGTGTGACCCCAGGTCTGATGTGTGTAGTGTGTAGTGTGTCCCCAGGTCTGATGTGTGTAGTGTGTCCCCAGGTCTGATGTGTGTAGTGTGTCCCCAGGTCTGATGTGTGTAGTGTGTAGTGTGTCCCCAGGTCTGATGTGTGTAGTGTGTCCCCAGGTCTGATGTGTGTAGTGTGTCCCCAGGTCTGATGTGTGTAGTGTGTCCCCAGGTTTGATGTGTGTAGTGTGTCCCCAGGTCTGATGTGTGTAGTGTGTAGTGTGTCCCCAGGTTTGATGTGTGTAGTGTGTCCCGAGGTCTGATGTGTGTAGTGTGTCCCCAGGTCTGATGTGTGTAGTGTGTCCCCAGGTCTGATGTGTGTAGTGTGTAGTGTGTCCCCAGGTCTGATGTGTGTAGTGTGTCCCCAGGTCTGATGTGTGTAGTGTGTAGTGTGTCACCAGGTCTGATGTGTGTAGTGTGTCCCCAGGTTTGATGTGTGTAGTGTGTAGTGTGTCCCCAGGTCTGATGTGTGTAGTGTGTCCCCAGGTCTGATGTGTGTAGTGTGTCCCCAGGTCTGATGTGTGTAGTGTGTCCCCAGGTCTGATGTGTGTAGTGTGTAGTGTGTCCCCAGGTCTGATGTGTGTAGTGTGTAGTGTGTCCCCAGGTCTGATGTGTGTAGTGTGTCCCCAGGTCTGATGTGTGTAGTGTGTCCCCAGGTCTGATGTGTGTAGTGTGTCCCCAGGTCTGATGTGTGTAGTGTGTAGTGTGTCCCCAGGTCTGATGTGTGTAGTGTGTAGTGTGTCCCCAGGTTTGATGTGTGTAGTGTGTAGTGTGTCCCCAGGTCTGATGTGTGTAGTGTGTCCCCAGGTCTGATGTGTGTAGTGTGTCCCCAGGTCTGATGTGTGTAGTGTGTAGTGTGTCCCCAGGTCTGATGTGTGTAGTGTGTCCCCAGGTTTGATGTGTGTAGTGTGTCCCCAGGTCTGATGTGTGTAGTGTGTCCCCAGGTCTGATGTGTGTAGTGTGTAGTGTGTCCCCAGGTCTGATGTGTGTAGTGTGTCCCCAAGTCTGATGTGTGTAGTGTGTCCCCAGGTCTGATGTGTGTAGTGTGTAGTGTGTCCCCAGGTCTGATGTGTGTAGTGTGTCCCCAGGTCTGATGTGTGTAGTGTGTAGTGTGTCCCCAGGTCTGATGTGTGTAGTGTGTAGTGTGTCCCCAGGTCTGATGTGTGTAGTGTGTCCCCAGGTCTGATGTGTGTAGTGTGTCCCCAGGTCTGATGTGTGTAGTGTGTAGTGTGTCCCCAGGTCTGATGTGTGTAGTGTGTCCCCAGGTCTGATGTGTGTAGTGTGTGGCGACACGTCCAGCGGAAAACATTACGGCATCCTGGCATGTAACGGCTGCAGCGGCTTCTTCAAGAGGAGCGTCAGACGGAAGTTGATATACAGGTGAGACGTGCACATGTCATCTACAGGTGAGACGTGCACATGTCATCTACAGGTGAGACGTGCACATGTCATCTACAGGTGAGACGTGCACATGTCATCTACAGGTGAGACATGCACATGGCATCTACAGGTGAGACATGCACATGGCATCTACAGGTGAGACATGTACATGTCATCTACAGGTGAGACGTGCACATGTCATCTACAGGAGTAATAGGTGACTATGTCATGACGATAGTGCTGTATATCAAATAGATGTCATGTACTAATGTCAAATGTCATTTCCAGATGTCAGGCGGGAACTGGGCTGTGTACAGTTGATAAGGCCCACAGGAACCAGTGTCAGGCCTGCAGGCTCAAAAAGTGTATACAGATGGGCATGAATAAAGATGGTAAGATGGGTGACAGATGGGCATGAATAAAGATGGTAAGATGGGTGACAGATGGGCATGAATAAAGATGGTAAGATGGGTGACAGATGGGCATGAATAAAGATGGTAAGATGGGTGACATACAGATGGGCATGAATAAAGATGGTAAGATGGGTGACATACAGATGGGCATGAATAAAGATGGTAAGATGGGTGACATACAGATGGGCATGAATAAAGATGGTAAGATGGGTGACATACAGATGGGCATGAATAAAGATGGTAAGATGGGTGACATACAGATGGGCATGAATAAAGATGGTAAGATGGGTGACATACAGATGGGCATGAATAAAGATGTAAGATGGGTGACAGATGGGCATGAATAAAGATGGTAAGATGGGTGACATACAGATGGGCATGAATAAAGATGGTAAGATGGGTGACAGATGGGCATGAATAAAGATGGTAAGATTGGTGACAGATGGGCATGAATAAAGATGGTAAGATGGGTGACAGATGGGCATGAATAAAGATGGTAAGATGGGTGACATCTAGATAGGAACATGAATAAGGTAAGATGGGTGTCACCTATATGGGGTGGGGGGGGGCATGAATTAGGTAAAATGGGTGACATCTAGATGGTGGGGTTGGGACATAAGGTAAGATGGGGATGCTATTGACTACCACTTGACGCTGTAGCCCACGTGACTTTGTTGAGCCTGTGATGACCTTGACCCTGTGATGACCTTGACCCTGTGTTCCAGCCGTCCAGAACGAGCGCCAGCCCAGGAACACGGCCCAGGTGCGCGAGGACCAGATCCAGCACGAGCTCGAGCAGCCCCTCGTCCCCTCCAGCGCCACGGTCAGCGCCACCCACCCCGCCTTCAGCCCGGGGGCGGGGCACAGGTTCATGGCCAGCCTCATGACGGTCGAGGTCAGCAAACCTGACCAGGACGACACAGGTGAGGGTAGTGTCACGTTAGTTTATCACGTCAGATGACATGAGACTGTCACGTCAGGTGACATGGGACTGTCACGCCAGTTGACATGAGACTGTCACGCCAGTTGACATGAGACTGTCACGTCAGGTGACATGGGACTATCACGCCAGTTGACATGGGACTGTCACGCCAGTTGACATGAGACTGTCACGCCAGTTGACATGGGACTGTCACGTCAGTTGACATGAGACTGTCACGCCAGTTGACATGAGACTGTCACGCCAGTTGACATGAGACTGTCACGCCAGTTGACATGAGACTGTCACGTCAGTTGACATGAGACTGTCACGTCAGGTGACATGATCTGGGACATCTCCACAGGTGACGAGAACATCGACGTGACCAGCATTGAAAGCGAGGCTCACCAGCACGGCCCGGCCCCCCAGCCCAGCCTGCTGTACACGGAGAGCGCCATCTACCCCCCGGGCCACGAGACCCTGTACGAGTGCTCGGCCCGTCTGCTCTTCATGGCGGTCAAGTGGGCCAAAAACCTGCCCTCGTTTGCCAACCTGCCCTTCCGTGATCAGGTCAGTTGATGCATGCTTGCTCTAGGTCAAGGTCAAGGTGGGTGGTGGTAGGTCTTATCTATAGGTCAAGTGATATCTGTACTTGTAGGTCCAGTGATATCTGTACTTGTAGGTCTAGTGATATCTGTACCTGTAGGTCTAGTGATATCTGTACCTGTAGGTCTAGTGATATCTGTACCTGTAGGTCTAGTGATATCTGTACCTGTAGGTCTAGTGATATCTGTACCTGTAGGTCTAGTGATATCTGTACCTGTAGGTCTAGTGATATCTGTACCTGTAGGTCTAGAGATATCTGTACCTGTAGGTCTAGTGATATCTGTACCTATAGGTCTAGTGATATCTGTACTTGTAGGTCAAGTGATATCTGTACCTGTAGGTCTAGTGATACTTGTAGGTCTAGTGATATCTGTACTTGTAGGTCTAGTGATACTTGTAGGTCTAGTGATATCTGTACCTGTAGGTCTAGTGATATCTGTACCTATAGGTCTAGTGATATCTGTACTTGTAGGTCTAGTGATATCTGTACTTGTAGGTCTAGTGATACTTGTAGGTCTAGTGATATCTGTACCTGTAGGTCTAGTAATATCTGTACCTGTAGGTCTAGTGATATGTGTACCTGTAGGTCTAGTGATATCTGTACCTGTAGGTCTAGTGATATCTGTACTTGTAGGTCAAGTGATATCTGTACCTGTAGGTCTAGTGATATCTGTACCTGTAGGTCTAGTGATATCTGTACCTGTAGGTCTAGTGATATCTGTACCTATAGGTCTAGTGATATCTGTACTTGTAGGTCAAGTGATATCTGTACCTATAGGTCTAGTGATATCTGTACCTGTAGGTCAAGTGATATCTGTACCTGTAGGTCAAGTGATATCTGTACCTGTAGGTCTAGTGATATCTGTACCTATAGGTCAAGTGATATCTGTACCTGTAGGTCCAGTGATATCTGTACTTGTAGGTCTAGTGATATCTGTACCTGTAGGTCAAGTGATATCTGTACCTGTAGGTCTAGTGATATCTGTACCTGTAGGTCTAGTGATATCTGTACCTGTAGGTCTAGTGATATCTGTACCCGTAGGTCAAGTGATATCTGTACCTGTAGGTCTAGTGATATCTGTACCTGTAGGTCAAGTGATATCTGTACCTGTAGGTCAAGTGATATCTGTACCTGTAGGTCCAGTGATATCTGTACCTGTAGGTCCAGTGATATCTGTACTTGTAGGTCTAGTGATATCTGTACCTGTAGGTCTAGTGATATCTGTACCCGTAGGTCAAGTGATATCTGTACCTGTAGGTCCAGTGATATCTGTACCTGTAGGTCAAGTGATACTTGTAGGTCTAGTGATATCTGTACTTGTAGGTCTAGTGATATCTGTACCCGTAGGTCAAGTGATATCTGTACCTGTAGGTCTAGTGATATCTGTACCTGTAGGTCCAGTGATATCTGTACCTGTAGGTCCAGTGATATCTGTACCTGTAGGTCTAGTGATATCTGTACCTATAGGTCTAGTGATATCTGTACTTGTAGGTCAAGTGATATCTGTACATGTAGGTCTAGTGATATCTGTACCTGTAGGTCTAGAGATATCTGTACCTGTAGGTCTAGTGATATCTGTACCTGTATGTCAAGTGATATCTGTACCTGTATGTCTAGTGATATCTGTACCTGTAGGTCAAGTGATATCTGTACCTATAGGTCTAGTGATATCTGTACTTGTAGGTCTAGTGATATCTGTACCCGTAGGTCAAGTGATATCTGTACCTGAAAGGTCTAGTGATATCTGTACCTGTAGGTCAAGTGATATCTGTACCTGTAGGTCTAGTGATATCTGTACCTATAGGTCTAGTGATATCTGTACTTGTAGGTCAAGTGATATCTGTACCTATAGGTCTAGTGATATCTGTACCTGTAGGTCAAGTGATATCTGTACCTGTAGGTCAAGTGATATCTGTACCTGTAGGTCTAGTGATATCTGTACCTATAGGTCAAGTGATATCTGTACCTGTAGGTCCAGTGATATCTGTACTTGTAGGTCTAGTGATATCTGTACCTGTAGGTCAAGTGATATCTGTACCTGTAGGTCTAGTGATATCTGTACCTGTAGGTCTAGTGATATCTGTACCTGTAGGTCTAGTGATATCTGTACCCGTAGGTCAAGTGATATCTGTACCTGTAGGTCTAGTGATATCTGTACCTGTAGGTCAAGTGATATCTGTACCTGTAGGTCAAGTGATATCTGTACCTGTAGGTCCAGTGATATCTGTACCTGTAGGTCCAGTGATATCTGTACTTGTAGGTCTAGTGATATCTGTACCTGTAGGTCTAGTGATATCTGTACCCGTAGGTCAAGTGATATCTGTACCTGTAGGTCTAGTGATATCTGTACCTGTAGGTCCAGTGATATCTGTACCTGTAGGTCAAGTGATACTTGTAGGTCTAGTGATATCTGTACTTGTAGGTCTAGTGATATCTGTACCCGTAGGTCAAGTGATATCTGTACCTGTAGGTCTAGTGATATCTGTACCTGTAGGTCCAGTGATATCTGTACCTGTAGGTCCAGTGATATCTGTACCTGTAGGTCTAGTGATATCTGTACCTATAGGTCTAGTGATATCTGTACTTGTAGGTCAAGTGATATCTGTACATGTAGGTCTAGTGATATCTGTACCTGTAGGTCTAGAGATATCTGTACCTGTAGGTCTAGTGATATCTGTACCTGTATGTCAAGTGATATCTGTACCTGTATGTCTAGTGATATCTGTACCTGTAGGTCAAGTGATATCTGTACCTATAGGTCTAGTGATATCTGTACTTGTAGGTCTAGTGATATCTGTACCCGTAGGTCAAGTGATATCTGTACCTGAAAGGTCTAGTGATATCTGTACCTGTAGGTCAAGTGATATCTGTACCTGTAGGTCAAGTGATATCTGTACCTGTAGGTCAAGTGATATCTGTACTTGTAGGTCTAGTGATATCTGTACCTGTAGGTCTAGTGATATCTGTACCTGTAGGTCCAGTGATATCTGTACCTGTAGGTCAAGTGATATCTGTACCTGTAGGTCTAGTGATATCTGTACCTATAGGTCTAGTGATATCTGTACTTGTAGGTCTAGTGATATCTGTACCTGTAGGTCTAGTGATATCTGTACCTGTAGGTCTAGTGATATCTGTACCTGTAGGTCTAGTGATATCTGTACCTGTAGGTCTAGTGATATCTGTACTGTAGGTCAGCTGGGTGACCTCCTCTCTCTGCAGGTCATCCTGCTCGAGGAGGCGTGGAGTGAGCTGTTCTTGCTGTGTGCCATCCAGTGGTCCATGCCCATGGAGGCGTGTCCACTCTTCGCCCTCCCCGACCACCTCCCCGCCCTCGCCACCAGCAAGGTCACGCCCTTCTCAGACATGCGCATTCTGCAGGATGTTATGGCAAGGTTCAAGGTCGTTCAAGTTGACCCCGCAGAATTTGCTTGTCTCAAGGCCATTGTGCTGTTTAAGTCAGGTGATTTCTAGTTTTATTAATTGAGCAAACACAGGCACACAATGTCAGACACACAGACAGACACACAGACATACAGACAGACACACAGATACACAGACACACAGACATACACAGATACACAGATACACAGACAGACACACATACACAGACATACACACAGATACCCAGACATACACACATACATACAGACATACACACATACATACAGACATACACACATAAACAGACACACAGACAAACACACAGACATACAGACACATAGCAAGATGTACAACGTCACGTGACAAAAGACCTCGTCTGTCACAGATGCCAGAAGTCTCAAGGACCCGCATCAAGTTGAAGGTCTTCAGGACCAGGCACAGGTCATGTTAGGTCAGCACATCCGGAGTCAGCACCCGTCTCAACCCTACAGGTAAGTTAACACCTGTCTCAACCCTACAGGTAGGTCAACTCAACCCTACAGGTAAGTTAACACCTGTCTCAACCCTACAGGTAGGTCAACACCTGTCTCAACCCTACAGGTAGGTTAACACCTGTCTCAACCCTACAGGTAGGTTAACACCTGTCTCAACCCTACAGGTAGGTCAACACCTGTCTCAACCCTACAGGTAGGTCAACACCTGTCTCGATCCTACAGGTAGGTCACCACCTGTCTCAACCCTACAGGTAGGTCAACACCTGTCTCAACCCTACAGGTAGGTTAACACCTGTCTCAACCCTACAGGTAGGTCAACACCTGTCTCGATCCTACAGGTAGGTCACCACCTGTCTCAACCCTACAGGTAGGTCAACACCTGTCTCAACCCTACAGGTAGGTCAACAACTGTCTCAACCCTACAGGTAGGTCAACACCTGTCTCAACCCTACAGGTAGGTCAACAACTGTCTCAACCCTACAGGTAGGTCAACACCTGTCTCAACCCTACAGGTAGGTCAACAACTGTCTCAACCCTACAGGTAGGTCAACACCTGTCTCGATCCTACAGGTAGGTCAACACCTGTCTCAACCCTACAGGTAGGTCAACAACTGTCTCAACCCTACAGGTAAGTCACCACCTGTCTCCACCCTACAGGTAGGTCACCACCTGTCTGAGATGACTGCACCACTAACTGCCCCTGTTTTTGCCGCAGGTTTGGCCGTCTGCTGCTGGCCCTCCCCACACTGCGCTATGTGACGTCAGACAGGATCGAGCGGCTTTTCTTTGGCCGCACCATCGGCAACACGCCCATGGAGAAACTGCTGTGTGATATGTTCAAAAGTTGACACCAAGTCAAGTCAATGCCGTTCAAAAGTTGACCGGAGCACCAAGTCAATGCCATTCAAAGGTTGACTGATGCACTAAAAAGTCAGTATATCAGCTTTCAACATTTGACTGGGGCACCAAGTCAAGTCAATACCTTTCAAAAGTTGACTGGGGCGTGACTTTCTTTTATTTCTAGCCAGCTCTCAAGTTCAGTTCGTGTTTGAATGTCCGGCCAACAATTCTAGACCCAGATAGCCATTAGACCCCGCTTGTCTAGTAGCCAAAAACTGCTTGCTGATAAGCCAGGCTACCGTCCACTTGAGGTAGCACTAAGGCTATCGTCCACTTGAGGTAGCACTAAGGCTACCGTCCACTTGAGGTAGCACTAAGGCTACCGTCCACTTGAGGTAGCACTAAGGCTACCGTCCACTTGAGGTAGCACTAAGGCTACCGTCCACTTGAGGTAGCACTAAGGCTACCGTCCACTTAAGGTAGCACTAAGGCTACCGTCCACTTGAGGTAGCACTAAGGCTACCGTCCACTTAAGGTAGCACTAAGGCTACCGCCCACTTGAGGTAGCACTAAGGCTACCGTCCACTTGAGGTAGCACTAAGGCTACCGCCCACTTGAGGTAGCACTAAGGCTACCGTCCACTTGAGGTAGCACTAAGGCTACCGTCCACTTGAGGTAGCACTAAGGCTACCGCCCACTTGAGGTAGCACTAAGGCTACCGTCCACTTGAGGTAGCACTAAGGCTACCGTCCTCCTGGTTTGAGCTTGCCCTGCTGTGTATAATTGTATTTCTCTAGCTAGAGCACAATAAAAGATTTGCTTCAACAGTTTTTGTCCAATTTCATCTCTTCACTGTTTATATTCTGTCAAACGTTAACAACCCGACACCATCATAACAACCCGACACAATCATAACCCGACACCATCATAACAACCCGACACCATCATAACAACCCGACACCATCATAACAACCCGACACCATCATAACAACCCGACACCATCATAACAACCCGACACCATCATAACAACCCGACACCATCATAACAACCCGACACCATCATAACAACCCGACACCATCATAACAACCCGACACCATCATAACAACCCGACACAACCCTACCAACAAGACCAACAACACCAGTTTCTCATCCATGTCTTTTATTAAGTCAAAGAACCTGGCAGGATGTGAAATGTGGCCACTGAGTGAGATTTAATCTGGCCACATTGCGACATCGTATCTGGCCACAAGTCGACAGAAACATTGGCTGATCTTAAAATCTGGTAAAATAACAGTTTGGCTTGCAGCTAAATGATTGCTTGGCTTGCAGCTAAATGATTGCTTGGCTTGCAGCTAAATGATTGCTTTGCTTGCAGCTAAATGATAGCTTCGCTTGCAGCTAAAGTCTGACAGTTTGGCTTGCAGCTAAAGTCTGACAGTTTGGCTTGCAGCTAAATGATAGTTGGCTTGCAGCCAAATGATAGCTTGGCTTGCAGCTAAAGTCTGACAGTTTGGCTTGCAGCTAAATGATAGCTTGGCTTGTAGCTAAATGATAGCTTGGCTTGCAGCCAAATGATAGCTTGGCTTGCAGCCAAATGATAGCTTGGCTTGCAGCTAAATGACAGCTTGGCTTTTAGCTAAATGATAGCTTGGCTTGCAGCTAAATGATAGCTTGGCTTGCAGCTAAATGATAGCTTGGCTTGCAGCTAAATGATAGCTTGGCTTGCAGCTAAAGTCTGACAGTTTGGCTTGCAGCTAAATGATAGCTTGGCTTGTAGCTAAATGATAACTTGGCTTGCAGCTAAAGTCTGACAGTTTGGCTTGCAGCTAAATGATAGCTTGGCTTGTAGCTAAATGATAGCTTGGCTTGCAGCTAAAGTCTGACAGTTTGGCTTGTAGCTAAATGATAGCTTGGCTTGCAGCCAAATGATAGCTTGGCTTGTAGCTAAATGATAGCTTGGCTTGCAGCTAAATGATAACTTGGCTTGCAGCTAAAGTCTAACAGTTTGGCTTGCAGCTAAATGATAACTTGGTTTGCAGCTAAAGTCTGACAGTTTGGCTTGCAGCTAAAGTCTGACAGTTTGGCTTGCAGCCAAATGATAGCTTGGCTTGCAGCCAAATGACAGCTTGGCTTTTAGCTAAATGATAGCTTGGCTTGCAGCTAAATGATAGCTTGGCTTGCAGCTAAATGATAGCTTGGCTTGTAGCTAAATGATAGCTTGGCTTGCAGCTAAAGTCTGACAGTTTGGCTTGCAGCTAAATGATAGCTTGGCTTGCAGTTGGACGTCAGAGCGTGCTGATGGACAGCCGCAGATGCTCCACAAAGCTGTCGTGCCAATAGAAGTACAGCACGGGGTACCAGACGGACGTGCTGTAGTACAGCCACATGGACGTGATGCCCGCCTCCCACGGGGCGTCACCCCGCGGGCAGCCGCTGACCATTGCGTAGGGCAGAGAGCACACATAGACGACGAGTGCCAGGCATATGCCCTTGTGTAGGGTGAGCCTGATAGCCGCTTCCAGCGGGTCTGTACTCTCTGGCCAGCACGCCCTCATCAGGTGGCGCTTCTTGTCGGTCAGACAGCCGAGGGCTAGCCTGGCCAGGCAGGGTCTGGGCACGGCCTGCTGGGGCTCAACGCTGGTCAGGGCGTCAATGCTGGTCAGTTGGCTCTCAGGCTTCCAGACTTGGCCAGACTTGAGGAACTGGGTCTCGCTGACCTCCAGCGACGAGCTGGGCCGGCCCGATTGGCTGCTGTGTGTCACGTGGCTGAAGCTCGAGCTCAGGTTGCTGTGGGAGCTCAGGGAATCGCTGAGCTCTGAGGGGACGTAGGGCAGTGACGTCTGGGTGGCCTGCTCCAACATTGTGGGCCGCGGGCCACGGCGGGTGTGGACGAACTCTGGGCTGACGTGGGCTTGGCTCGAAGGCTGTGGGCTTGGGCTTGCCCGCAAGGCCGGTGACTGGACGTCCGGGGGATGGCCGGGGGTGTGGCCGGGGGTGTGGCCGGGGGTGTGGCCGGGGGTGTGGCCGGGGGTGTGGCCGGGGGTGTGGCCGGGGGTGTGGCCTGAGGTATGGCTGGGGGTGTGGCCTGTGGTATGGCTGGGGGTGTGGCCTGTGGTATGGCCGGGGTTGTGGCCTGTGGTATGGCCGGGGTTGTGGCCTGTGGTATGGCCGGGGGTGTGGCCCGTGGAGGGGGAGCCGCAACTTGACATGAGAAAATTTTCGTGCGCCACGTCTAGAGTCAACCTGTGGTAGATGGCCGGACCTGCCGGCTGCTGGGTACCATCTGCCGGCTTCTGGAACCGGGCTCTCAGCCGCCATATTTTGTAGCACAAGAAGCTGTAGGAGCCGGGGACGACAGGCGCTATCACGGCCTGCAGCAGCAGCGTCAGGTAGGAGCTGTACCAGCAGGCGCAGCTGACGGGCAGCGAGCAGCGCTTCAGTTGGTCGTTAAAGACGTAGGCCACGCCCGTCAGACCGGGGCTCAGGGGCAGGGCGGCGTGCGCCCCAGAGAGCAGCCAGGAGACGACCAGCCCCCCCACGTAGGCCCGGGTGGTCAGCAGGCCGGGCAGGAGCGTGCTACACGCGCGCTCCAGGGCCAGCAGCGCATGCGTCAGGAAACTGCAGACGTAGCTGAACTGGAAGAGGAAGGCGGTGACAGAGCACACGGTGCCTCCCACAATGGCGGACAGACACTCGGGGCTGTTGCACGTGATGAGCCGAGCCGTGGCGGGCATGACCCAGGTGAGCAGGATCAGGTCACAGAGCAGGATGTTGGTGAGCAGGATGTAGCGCTTCTTCCGCTTCAAGAAGCGATAGCGCCGGCCGATGACGAAGAGCACGGTGAGGTTGAGCAGGAGCCCCAGGAGTTGGATGATCAGCAGGAGCACCAGCTGCAGGGACAGGCTCTCGGGGCTGCTCGGAGTCACAGAGTCTGCTGACTCCAGAGGGGAGCACATTGCTTACATCTTACCATTCTCTCATCTCTACGTGATCAGCCATCTTGGATTTGCTTGTCCCTGCACCAAACTGCACTCTCTGCACCGCCCTGTGGCTCCAGATGTGTGCATCTAGTGACGTGCAAGATTCCCATGTCAGTCAAACCCAGGGCAGGTCACAACTTACATTCAATGCTCCAGATGGCCAAGTACTTCAGATGGCCAAGTACGTCAGATGGCCAAGTACTTCAGATGGCCAAGTACGTCAGATGGCCAAGTACGTCAGATGGCCAAGTACTTCAGATGGCCAAGTACTTCAGATGGCCAAGTACGTCAGATGGCCAAGTACTTCAGATGGCCAAGTACGTCAGATGGCCAAGTACGTCAGATGGCCAAGTACTTCAGATGGCCAAGTACTTCAGATGGCCAAGTACGTCAGATGGCCAAGTACTTCAGATGGCCAAGTACGTCAGATGGCCAAGTACTTCAGATGGCCAAGTACTTCAGATGGCCAAGTACGTCTGATGGCCAAGTACGTCTGATGGCCAAGTACGTTTGGTGTCTGCCTTCCTTTCTTGTCGGCGATGAAGGTCGTGATACATCTGTCTCCATGGTAACAACACCATGACCAGACTGAGACCGTCAATACTTGCCGCCAAACATCTAAACTTGCCGCCAAACATCTAAACTTGCCGCCAAACATCTAAACTTGCCGGAAAACATCTAAACTTGCCGCCAAACATCTAAACTTGCCGCCAAACATCTAAACTTGCCGGAAAACATCTAAACTTGCCGCCAAACATCTAAACTTGCCGCCAAACATCTAAACTTGCCGGAAAACATCTAAACTTGCCGCCAAACATCTAAACTTGCCGGAAAACATCTAAACTTGCCGCCAAACATCTAAACTTGCCGCCAAACATCTAAACTTGCCGGAAAACATCTAAACTTGCCGCCAAACATCTAAACTTGCCGCCAAACATCTAAACTTGCCGCCAAACATCTAAACTTGCCGCCAGATGAACAGATCAGTATAAGACTTTACAATCCGACGTCTTTATTCAATTATTGATGGCATTAAATGTGGTATACACGTTTTGATTTTATTATAAGCTTTTATTTAACTCACTTCCTCTGTCTGTCATCAGTCGTCAGTCTAGATAGAAACGCAGGAGTGAAAATTCGGACAGTTCTACTTGACCGACACGATTCACAGTTGGCACGTGGGTCAAGACATGAAGACAATGCAATCTGAAACTAAATTTGACTTAATTGGATGCCTAATTAATTTTTTATTAATTAATTAAAATTTGGACCGAATTATTAGGCATGTCTAGCCAACCACACCACACGCGTCATCACGTTCAATAGCTGCGCCATCACCTTCAGTAGGCGCGCCATCACGTTCAATAGACGCGCAATGGTTTTTAGTCATGTAACACTATTGTAAATAAAACCTGTAAAGTATTGAAAAAAAAAATTCATAAAAAACGTTTTAATAACAAGCTTTTATGTAATGATGCACTAAAAAGTAGAAAATAAATTATACACTACTATTTAAATTACTATAAAGAAAAGCGTGGGTCTCTTCTCAAATATTAGTAAAGGTATCCAATAGGTACTAAAGTACTAAAGTGACCCACGCTTTTCTTTATAGTAATTTAAATAGTAGTGTATAATTTATTTTCTACTTTTTAGTGCATCATTACATAAAAGCTTGTTATTAAAACGTTTTTTATGAATTTTTTCAAACATTTTGCGGGGGAAAAAAATTGTTTTTACAAGCTTTTATTTAACTCACTTCCTCGTCATTCTGTCTGTCGTCAGTCTAGATAGAAACGCAGGAGTGAAAATTCGGACAGTTCAACTTGACCGATACGATTCACAGTTGGCACGTGGATCAAGACATGAAGACAATGCAATCTGAAACTAAATTTGACTTAATTGGATGCCTAATTAATTTTTTATTAATTAATTAAAATTTGGACCGAATTATTAGGCATGTCTATCCAACCACACAACACGCGTCATCACGTTCAATAGCTGCGCCATCACGGTACGTTCAATAGCTGCGCCTTCACGTTCAGTAGGCGCGCAATGGTTTTTAGTCATGTAACTCTATTGTAAATAAAACATGTAAAGTACTGAAAAAAATTCATAAAAAACGTTTTAATAACAAGCTTTTATGTAATAATGCACTAAAAAGTAGAAAAAAAAATATACACTATTATTTAAATTACTATAAAGAAAAGCGTGGGTCTCTTCTCAAATATTAGTAAAGGTATCCAATCGGTACTAAAGTGACCCACGCTTTTCTTTATAGTAATTTAAATAATAGTGTATAATTTATTTTCTACTTTTTAGTGCATTATTACATAAAAGCTTGTTATTAAAACGTTTTTTATGAATTTTTTTTATAAGCTTTTATTTAACTCACTTCCTCGTCAGTCGTCAGTCTAGACCGAAACGCAGGAGTGAAAATTCGGAAACGTCTACTTGACCGATACGATTCACATTTGGCACGTGGGTCAAGACATGAAGACAATGCAATCTGAAACTAAATTTGACTTAATTGGATGCCTAATTAATTTTTTCTGAATTAATTAAAATTTGGACCGAATTAGTAGGCATGTCTATCCAACCACACCACACGCGTCATCAACTTCAATAGCTGCGCCATCACGTTCAATGGCTGCGTTCAAAAACCATTGCGCGCCTACTGAACGTGATGTTCAGTAGGCGCGCAATGGTTTTTAGTCATGTAACTCTATTGTAAATAAAACATGTAAAGTACTGAAAAAAAAATTCATAAAAAACGTTTTAATAACAAGCTTTTGTGTAATAATGCACTAAAAAGTAGAAAATAAATTATAGACTACTATTTAAATAACTAGAAAGAAAAGCGTGGGTGTCTTCCTAAACATTAGTGTAGGTATCCAATAGATACTATAGTGACCAACGCTTTTCTTTCTAGTTATTTAAATAGTAGTCTATAATTTATTTTCTACTTTTTAGTGCATTATAACATAAAAGCTTGTTATTAAAACGTTTTTTATGATTTTTTTTTTATTTACAATTGTGTTGTAAGTAAAGTTCCTCTTTAGACCTGGCGGTATAGGGCAGATGAAGTTTTTTGACTTGAGCGTATGAAGGTATAGTGTGACCAGCACTATGCCTTACAGACTTTACTGTCACTAACTTGAGTTAGGTACCCACCAGGGCTGGGTGGACTTAGATAGGTTCAACTAACTTGAACACGGATTCGAACTCGAGACTTTTTAGTTAGCAGTCTAGTGTATGTGTACCTGATTACTGAATCATAAGTAGTGTACCTCAGTTGTTTCATAGTATACACAACAATTTTCTGGCAAATTGACACAACAATTTTCTGGCAAAATGACACTATAATTTTCTGGCTAAATGACACTATAATTTTCTGGCAAATTGACAAATAATTTATCTGGCCAATCGACACACATCTGCCTATTGAGTTTGAGTGACCACCGGCACCATTTGGTCAGCACTTAGTGTCACCTCCATGTTCTCCATGTGGCGCATGGACCGGTAGAGTGCCGTGATGTTGCCGGAACCGAAGCCCAGCGCGCCGTGCCGTTGGATAAACTCCAGGAAGAACGGATCCGTCGGCAGGACAGGCGAGGTGAAGATCTGCAGGAGGTACCTGCAAGAGGGCAGGGTCAGGGGTCACTGCGGACCGGGAGGTCAAGGGTCACAGCGGGCCGGGAGGTCAGGGGACGGGGGTTGTAGTGTTCTGTATCCACGTCTATGTATCTGTCTGCTCTCTCTCTCTACTATATATATATATATATATATATATATATATATATATATATATATATATATATATATATATATATATAATGTATGTGTGTGTGTATGTGTAATATACACACATAGCATTAACACACAATAATAGTGTTACGCTGCCTTCAAATCAGCTTAACAGCCAATGCTAAAAGTTTTATTGCTTTTTAAAAAGCTCTTCATAGTCAAAGGAACTTAATTCATTTTATATTTGTCAGTCAACGGTATTTACTAGTTGCGTCCCTTAGACTGAAGCATTTGCGCAATTTTATTTTTAAAAATATAATTACCGAACAAGAACTCGTTTTAATATTATGAGACCTTTAATTAAAGCTATGTGATTATCTTAATCTACTTCAATATCACTAAGGGACAGATGATGCTTACGTTTGCTAAAAAAAAGTTGGATATTTAAAAAAAATTGTAGTACGATATCAAGTCAGATTGGCTCATCTCATACAAAATAAATTAAACAGCAGTCCTAATCAGTGGCGTCGCTAGGTCGGGGTCACCCGGTGCGGCAGCGGAACCCCATGGTGTCACCCCCCCCCCCTTCATTACATTTTTAAACCAGTATAGGCTATATACATACATTTTATATATATATATATATATATATATATATATATATATATATATATATATATATATATATATATATATATATATATATATATATATATATATATATATATATATATATATATATATATATATAAAGCAACGTGCAACGTTATCATAGTAAATTATTACATATGGTGACACCCCCCCCCCCCCCCCCCCCGGTCGGTCGTTGATTGACTTTAATTACCAGAGAAAAAAATTATTCCTGACCTCTTGCCCTGGTCCTTGTCTATTAGAATGTCCAGTTCCTGCAAGTCTTGGACACTCTCGTTGACTTCCAGAATATCGGCCAGTTTCCCTGCCTGGAGCAAACAAGACCTCAATCGTGGCTACCTTCTGGCCCACACACATGGCCCAGACACATGGCCCACAGTCATGGGCCACAGTCATGGGCCACAGTCATGGGCCACACGCATGGCCCACACGCATGGCCCACACGCATGGCCCACACGCATGGCCCACACGCATGGCCCACACGCATGGCCCACACGCATGGCCCACACGCATGGCCCACACGCATGGCCCACACGCATGGCCCACACGCATGGCCCACACGCATGGCCCACACGCATGGCCCACACACATGGGCCACACACTTAACATACAGCACTAGCTACCTACATGTAACATGTTGCTGTTAGCTAGTTTATGATAGGTAGCCGTTTCTACCTTTTGTTGGCCTCTTCTATCAAGGGGGCAGGTTAACGGTTTACGACACAAATGACGGTACAAAATACTTAATCACGTCATGCTCCAACACCACACGCCAACCAACAGCCACACAACATAGCACACCCTAGCTCTGTCACCCGTCAACTGACACACCTCACCCTAGCACACCCTAGCTCTGTCACCCGTCAACTGACACACTTCACGTGAACACTTCTCACTCCATGTAAACACACTCAACCAAGTCTACAACTACATCCAAATAGAGGTTACATGTCGTGGGAGCACACAACACATTCAGGAGGAGGGGGGGGGGGGGGGGCTACACACAAGGAATCTAACACCTGTGTTTACTACACACAAGGGACCTAACACCTGTGTTTACTACACACAAGGGACCTAACACCTGTGTTTACTCCACACATGGGACCTAACATCTGTGTTTACTGCACACAAGGGACCTAACACCTGTGTTTACTACACACAAGGGACCTAACACCTGTGTTTACTCCACACAAGAGATCTAACACCTGTGTTTACTACACACATGGGACCTAACACCTGTGTTTACTCCACACAAGAGATCTAACACCTGTGTTTACTACACAAAAGGGACCTAACACCTGTGTTTACTCCACACAAGAGATCTAACACCTGTGTTTACTACACACATGGGACCTAACACCTGTGTTTACTCCACACAAGGGACCTAACACCTGTGTTTACTCCACACAAGGGACGCAACACCTGTGTTTAGTGCACAGCTTGAGAGTACCTGAGTGTAATAGGCAGATGGCGGGGGCTGACCAAACTGAACGCCGCATCGTCTGGCCTGACGTACGGCACGCTTGATGTCAGACGTGGACAGTGCCAGATGCTGGATGCCAGGCCCGGGGTGTGACGTCATCCACTGCTCCACTTTGTTGGTCCCTGTCAAAAACAGCGGTGGTTGTGGTAGGGTAGTGGTAGGGTAGTGGTGTGGTTGTGTGGTTGTAGTAGGGTAGTGGTGTGGTTGTGGTAGGGTAGTGGTGTGGTTGTGTGGTTGTGGTAGGGTAGTGGTGTGGTTGTGTGGTTGTGGTAGGGTAGTGGTGTGGTTGTGTGGTTGTGGTAGGGTAGTGGTGTGGTTGTGTGGTTGTAGTAGGGTAGTGGTGTGGTTGTGGTAGGGTAGTGGTGTGGTTGTGTGGTTGTGGTAGGGTAGTGGTGTGGTTGTGTGGTTGTGGTAGGGTAGTGGTGTGGTTGTGTGGTTGTGGTAGGGTAGTGGTGTGGTTGTGTGGTTGTGGTACGGTAGTGGTGTGGTTGTGGTACGGTAGTGGTGTGGTTGTGGTAGGGTAGTGGTGTGGTTGTGGTAGGGTAGTGGTGTGGTTGTGGTAGGGTAGTGGTGTGGTTGTGTGGTTGTGGTAGGGTAGTGGTGTGGTTGTGGTAGGGTAGTGGTGTGGTTGTGGTAGGGTAGTGGTGTGGTTGTGTGGTTGTGGTAGGGTAGTGGTGTGGTTGTGGTAGGGTAGTGGTGTGGTTGTGTGGTTGTGGTAGGGTAGTGGTGTAGTTGTGGTAGGGTAGTGGTTTGGTTGTGTGGTTGTGTGGTTGTGGTAGAGTAGTGGTGTGGTTGTGTGGTTGTGGCAGGGTAGTGGTGTGGTTGTGGTAGGGTAGTGGTGTGGTTGTGTGGTTGTGGTAGAGTAGTGGTGTGGTTGTGTGGTTGTGGTAGGGTAGTGGTGTGGTTGTGTGGTTGTGGTAGGGTAGTGGTGTGGTTGTGTGGTTGTGGTAGAGTAGTGGTGTGGTTGTGTGGTTGTGGTAGAGTAGTGGTGTGGTTGTGTGGTTGTGGTAGGGTAGTGGTGTGGTTGTGTTAGGGTAATGGTGTGGTTGTGGCAGGGTAGGGGTGTGGTTGTGGTAGGGTAGTGGTGTGGTTGAGGTAGGATAGTGGTGTGGTTGTGTGGTTGTGGTAGAGTAGTGGTGTGGTTGTAGCAAGGTAGTGGTGTGGTTGTGGTAGGGTAGTGGTTTGGTTGTGTGGTTGTGTGGTTGTGGTAGAGTAGTGGTGTGGTTGTGTGGTTGTGGCAGGGTAGTGGTGTGGTTGTGGTAGGGTAGGGGTGTGGTTGTGGTAGGGTAGTGGTGTGGTTGAGGTAGGATAGTGGTGTGGTTGTGTGGTTGTGGTAGAGTAGTGGTGTGGTTGTAGCAAGGTAGTGGTGTGGTTGTGGTAGGGTAGTGGTTTGGTTGTGTGGTTGTGGTAGGGTAGTGGTGTGGTTGTGTAGTTGTGTTAGGGTAGTGGTGTGGTTGTGTGGTTGTGGTAGGGTAGTGGTGTGGTTGTGTGGTTGTGGTAGGGTAGTGGTGTGGTTGTGTGGTTGTGGTAGAGTAGTGGTGTGGTTGTGTGGTTGTGGTAGAGTAGTAATGTGGTTGTGTGGTTGTGGTAGGGTAGTGGTGTGGTTGTGTTAGGGTAGTGGTGTGGTTGTGGCAGGGTAGTGGTGTGGTTGTGGTAGGGTAGCTGTGTGGTTGTGTTAGGGTAGTGGTGTGGTTGTGTGGTTGTGGTAGGGTAGTGGTGTGGTTGTGTAGTTGTGGTAGAGTAGTGGTGTGGTTGTGTTAGGGTAGTGGTGTGGTTGTGGCAGGGTAGGGGTGTGGTTGTGGTAGGGTAGTGGTGTGGTTGAGGTAGGATAGTGGTGTGGTTGTGTGGTTGTGGTAGAGTAGTGGTGTGGTTGTAGCAAGGTAGTGGTGTGGTTGTGGTAGGGTAGTGGTTTGGTTGTGTGGTTGTGTGGTTGTGGTAGAGTAGTGGTGTGGTTGTGTGGTTGTGGCAGGGTAGTGGTGTGGTTGTGGTAGGGTAGTGGTGTGGTTGTGTAGTTGTGGTAGGGTAGTGGTGTGGTTGTGTGGTTTTGGTAGGGTAGTGGTGTGGTTGTGTAGTTGTGTTAGGGTAGTGGTGTGGTTGTGTGGTTGTGGTAGGGTAGTGGTGTGGTTGTGTGGTTGTGGTAGAGTAGTGATGTGGTTGTGTGGTTGTGGTAGGGTAGTGGTGTGGTTGTGTGGTTGTGGTAGAGTAGTGGTGTGGTTGTGTGGTTGTGGTAGAGTAGTAATGTGGTTGTGTGGTTGTGGTAGGGTAGTGGTGTGGTTGTGTTAGGGTAGCTGTGTGGTTGTGTTAGGGTAGTGGTGTGGTTGAGGTAGGATAGTGGTGTGGTTGTGTAGTTGTGGTAGAGTAGTAGTGTGGTTGTCCTAGGGTAGTGGTGTGGTTGTGGTAGGGTAGTGGTGTAGCTGTGTGGTTGTGGTAGGATAGTGGTGTGGTTGTCTGGTTGTGGTAGGGTAGTGGTGTGGTTGTCTGGTTGTGGTAGGGTAGTGGTGTGGTTGTCTGGTTGTGGTAGGGTAGTGGTGTGGTTGTCTGGTTGTGGTAGGATAGTGGTGTGGTTTTGTGTTTGTGGTAGGGTAGCGGTGTGGTTGTGGTAGAGTAGTGGTGTGGTTGTCTGGTTGTGGTAGGGTAGTGGTGTGGTTGTCTGGTTGTGGTAGGGTAGTGGTGTGGTTGTACTAGGGTAGTGGTGTGGTTGTACTAGGGTAGTGGTGTGGTTGTACTAGGGTAGTGGTGTGGTTGTGGTAGGGTAGTGGTGTAGCTGTGTGGTTGTGGTAGGGTAGTGGTGTGGTTGTGTGGTTGTGGTACGGTAGTGGTGTGGTGGTTGTGGTAGGTTAGGGGTGAGACTGTGTGGTTGTGTTGTTTGTGTGGTGGCTAATTGGTGGTGGCGGCTGTGGAGTGGTGTGGTGTGGAAGGAATGGTATATTTGGTTATGTGGTGGAAGTTGAGGTTGTGGGGCTGGTGGTGGTGGTGGTTGTGGTTGTGGTGGATTCGTGGTTGTATAGTTAGTTGTGTGGTGGTGAATGTGTAGTGGTGGTTGTGGGGCTGGTGGCAATGATCATGCTGGTGGCAATGATCATGCTGGTGGTGGTGGTGTGATGATGTTGTTGGTGGTGTTAGTGTAATGATGTTGGTGGTGGTGGTGTGATGATGCTGGTGGTGGTGGTGGTGTGATGATGTTGTTGGTGGTGGTGGTGTGATGATTTTGTTGGTGTTGGTGTGATGATGCTGGTGGTGGTGGTGTGATGATGTTGTTGGTGGTGGTGGTGTGATGATGTTGTTGGTGGTGGTGTGATGATGTTGGTGGTGGTGATGAGATGATGTTGTTGGTGGTGTGATGATGCTGGTGGTGGTGTGATCATGTTGGTGGTAGTGGTGGTGGTAGTGTGATGATGGTGGTGGTGTGATGATGCTGGTGGTGGTGTGATTATGTTGGTGGTAGTGGTGGTGGTAGTGGTGGTGGTAGTGTGATGATGGTGGTGGTGTGATGATGCTGGTGGTGGTGTGATTATGTTGGTGGTAGTGGTGGTGGTAGTGTGATGATGTTAGTGGTGGTGGTAGTGTGATGATGTTGGTGGTGGTGGTGTGATGATGTTGCTGGTGGTGATAGTGTGATGATGTTGTTGTTGGTGGTGTAATAATGTTGGTGATGGCGGTGGTGGTGTGATGATGGTGGTGGTGGTGGTAATGTGATGATGTTGGTGTTGGTGGTAGTGTGATGATGTTGTTGTTGGTGGTGTAATACTGTTGGTGATGGTGGTGGTGGTGTGATGATGGTGGTGGTGGTGGTAATGTGATGATGTTGGTGTTGGTGGTAATGTGATGATGTTGGTGGTGGTGGTGTGATGATGTTGGTGGTGGTGGTATGATGATGTTGTTGGTGGTGTTAGTGTAATGATGTTGGTGGTGGTGGTGTGATGATGCTGGTGGTGGTGGTGGTGTGATGATGTTGTTGGTGGTGGTGGTGTGATGATTTTGTTGGTGTTGGTGTGATGATGCTGGTGGTGGTGGTGTGATGATGTTGTTGGTGGTGGTGGTGTGATGATGTTGTTGGTGGTGGTGTGATGATGTTGGTGGTGGTGATGAGATGATGTTGTTGGTGGTGTGATGATGCTGGTGGTGGTGTGATCATGTTGGTGGTAGTGGTGGTGGTAGTGTGATGATGGTGGTGGTGTGATGATGCTGGTGGTGGTGTGATTATGTTGGTGGTAGTGGTGGTGGTAGTGGTGGTGGTAGTGTGATGATGGTGGTGGTGTGATGATGCTGGTGGTGGTGTGATTATGTTGGTGGTAGTGGTGGTGGTAGTGTGATGATGTTAGTGGTGGTGGTAGTGTGATGATGTTGGTGGTGGTGGTGTAATGATGTTGCTGGTGGTGATAGTGTGATGATGTTGTTGTTGGTGGTGTAATAATGTTGGTGATGGCGGTGGTGGTGTGATGATGGTGGTGGTGGTGGTAATGTGATGATGTTGGTGTTGGTGGTAGTGTGATGATGTTGTTGTTGGTGGTGTAATACTGTTGGTGATGGTGGTGGTGGTGTGATGATGGTGGTGGTGGTGGTAATGTGATGATGTTGGTGTTGGTGGTAATGTGATGATGTTGGTGGTGGTGGTGTGATGATGTTGGTGATGGTGGTGTGATGATGTTGGTGGTGGTGGTGGTGGTAGTGTGATGATGTTGGTGGTGGTGATGTGATGATGTTGTTGGTGGTGGTAGTGTGATGATGTTGGTGGTGGTGGTAGTGTGATGATGTTGTTGTTGGTGGTGTAATAATGTTGGTGGTGGTGGTGGTGCTGTGATGATGACGTTGGTGGTGGTGATGTTATGATGTTGTTGGTGTTGGTAGTGTGATGATGTTAGTGGTGGTGGTAGTGTGATGATGTTGGTGGTGGTAGTGTGATGATGATGTTGGTGGTGGTAGTGTGATGATGTTGTTGGTGGTGGTAGTGTGATGATGTTGTTGGTGGTGGTAGTGTGATGATGTTGGTGGTGGTGGTGTGATGATGTTGGTGGTGGTAGTGTGATGATGTTGTTGGTGGTGGTAGTGTGATGATGTTGTTGGTGGTGGTAGTGTGATGATGTTGTTGGTGGTGGTAGTGTGATGATGATGGTGGTGATGGTAGTGTGATGATGTTGGTGGTGGTGGTAGTGTGATGATGTTGGTGGTGGTGGTGTGATGAGTTGGTGTACCTGCCACATCTAGCGAGGGAGCTTCCGACAAAACAAGGCAGAATTGATCAGTTGGCTCAAGGACTGGGCCGTCGGTCTCAGCGCCCCGCTGGAGGGCGCCCGCCTCGGCACCCCGCTGGTACCTCATGGCCCTAAGTCGCAGGTGGTGAGACAACACAAGGCCGTCCTCCGGTGACTCATCCCTGTACATACAGGTGTTCATACAGGTGTTCATACAGGTGTTTATGCGGGTATTCATACAGGTGTTCATACAGGTGTTCATGCGGGTGTTTATGCAGGTATTCATACAGGTGTGCGCACATAAAACCCGGGATGTAGCTTCCCTACTAAACTTCAGGGCACACATGGCCCCCATAGTGAAAGGAATAAAAGTCACAAAGGAAAAACTGTATAGGGAAAAAGTCACAGAAATCACAGAAAATAAACTTGGAGTGATCTCCCTTAAACTTTCTCAAATATTCTTATATAACACTACGGGGGATGGCAACTCGGAATATAGACATGATTTTTAATCCTTTTTTAAATTACTTAAACTTTTAAAAATAGAATAGAATCTCGTAGAACTAAGAATTGCGCACAAAGTGAACGGTAAACAATATGTAGGTTGTAATTTTGTTAGAAATATAAAATTTATAGAACCTTATAGAATGTTCCAGCCTTCTCAGTTTACATACGCACATTACATTATATTTAATTAATCGTAAGTTCATTACACTTTTTTAATATTTAATACACACAAATTAACATATTCCATGTAAATATACATTTGTGACTTTTTTCCTGTGACTTTTTTCCTTCTTTTTTTCTCCTGTGTCTCCCACCTATGACCACACACATGGCCCCCACACATGGCCCCCAAACATGGCCCCCACACATGGCCCCCACACATGGCCCCCACACATGGCCCCCACACATGGCCCCCACACATGGCCCCCACACATGGCCCCCACACATGGCCCCCACACATGGCCCCCAAACATGGCCCCCACACATGGCCCCCACACATGGCCCCCACACATGGCCCCCACACATGGCCCCCACACATGGCCCCCACACATGGCCCCCACACATGGCCCCCACACATAACCCCACACATAGCCCACAAGACTTACCTGTTAACCAGAAACCTTTGGAACCCTAAAAACTTCTCGTAAAACTTCATCACCGACCTTGACCCACCAATGGGTACGGACAAGGCCACGTGATCAAAATGGCTCCAGCCAAACTCCGCCAAGTCTTCTGTCGTGTCGGGCGTCGTGTCGGGCGTCGTGTCGGGCGTCGTGTCGGGCAGGCCTGTAAACCCGGGAAGGAAGTGACCAGAGAAGTCCGTCTTCTCGACGATTGTGTGGTGGACATCGCCCAGACACCCCCGGGCAGTCAGCAGACGCACCTGACCCCCGGCTAGAGTCTTGACCGGCTTGACCACTTGCACGTGCTCGAGTGAGAGAAGGTCAAGGTTGTCCACTTGAAATGAAATGTTGAAGACCGAATCTTTTCTCTGGGTCACGTGACCGGACAGACAGGGCATCCAGTCCACGGCTATATCGTCAGCCTAGTGAGACACAAGACAGTGAGACACAAGACAGTGAGACACAAGACAGTGAGACACAAGACAGTGAGACACAAGACAGTTAGACACAAGACAGTGAGACACAAGACAGTGAGACACAAGACAGTGAGACACAAGACAGTTAGACACAAGACAGTGAGACAGTGAGACACAAGACAGTGAGACACAATACAGTGAGACACAAGACAGTGAGACACACGATGGTGAGACACAAGACAGTGAGACACATGACAGTGAGACAGTGAGACACAAGACAGTGAGACACAATACAGTGAGACAGTGAGACACAAGACAGTGAGACACAAGACAGTGAGACAGTGAGACACAAGACAGTGAGACACAAGACAGTGAGACACAAGACAGTGAGACAGTGAGACACAAGACAGTGAGACACACGATGGTGAGACACAAGACAGTGAGACAGTTAGACACAAGACAGTGAGACAGTGAGACACATGACAGTGAGACACACGATGGTGAGACACAAGACAGTGAGACACAAGACAGTGAGACACAAGACAGTGAGACACAAGACAGTGAGACACAAGACAGTGAGACAGTGAGACACAAGACAGTGAGACACAATACAGTGAGACAGTGAGACACAAGACAGTGAGACACACGATGGTGAGACACAAGACAGTGAGACACATGACAGTGAGACAGTGAGACACAAGACAGTGAGACACAATACAGTGAGACAGTGAGACACAAGACAGTGAGACACAAGACAGTGAGACACAAGACAGTGAGACAGTGAGACACAAGACAGTGAGACACAAGACAGTGAGACACAAGACAGTGAGACACAAGACAGTGAGACACAAGACAGTGAGACACAAGACAGTGAGACACAAGACAGTGAGACACAAGACAGTGAGACACAAGACAGTGAGACAGTGAGACACAAGACAGTGAGACAGTGAGACACAAGACAGTGAGACACAAGACAGTGAGACACAAGACAGTGAGACACAAGACAGTGAGACACAAGATAGTGAGACACAAGACAGTGAGACACAAGACAGTGAGACACAAGACAGTGAGACACAAGATAGTGAGACACAAGACAGTGAGACACAAGACAGTGAGACACAAGACAGTGAGACACAAGACAGTGAGACACAAGACAGTGAGACACAAGACAGTGAGACACAAGACAGTGAGACACAACACAGTGAGACACAACACAGTGAGACAGTAAGACACAAGACAGTGAGACACAAGACAGTGAGACACAAGACAGTGAGACACAAGACAGTGAGACACAAGACAGTGAGACACAAGACAGTGAGACACAAGACAGTGAGACACAAGATAGTGAGACACAAGACAGTGAGACACAAGACAGTGAGACACAAGACAGTGAGACACAAGACAGTGAGACACAAGACAGTGAGACCTCTATTAACTTTTGGTCCGAAGTTAGTAGCTCCGTTACTAAAAATCTGACGTCATTTCCGGTCAGCACCCACTGTTTGGCCACACTGTTGTTTCTAATGGCCGTGACCTTGAACCCGTACTTTGACGTCAACATGTCAACGGTAGCTTGTCCATTGACCACGCCCACTTCAATGTGATGGACACAAGCAAACCTTGACATGACGGGAAGAAACAGTTGGCTGGTAGAAACAGTTGGCTGGTAGAAACAGCTGGCTGGTAGAAACAGTTGGCTGGTAGAAACAGTTGGATGGTAGAAACAGTTCGCTGGTAGGAACAGTTGGCTGGTAGAAACAGTTGGCTGGTAGAAACAGTTGGCTGGTAGAAACAGTTGGCTGGTAGAAACAGTTGGCTGGTAGAAACAGTTGGCTGGTAGAAACAGTTGGCTGGTAGAAACAGTTGGCTGGTAGAAACAGTTGGCTGGTAGAAACAGTTGGCTGGTAGAAACAGTTGGCTGGTAGAAACAGTTGGCTGGTAGAAACAGTTGGATGGTAGAAACAGTTGGCTGGTAGAAACAGTTGGATGGTAGAAACAGTTGGCTGGTAGAAACAGTTGGCTGGTAGAAACAGTTGGCTGGTAGAAACAGTTGGCTGGTAGAAACAGTTGTCTAATAGTCAACCAGTTTTACCATTGCATTCCGATAAGGCCGAACACTATCGCATCGAATTAGCTTTTTTATCAACAGAAGCGTCACCTCAGGTAGGGGACATAACTTGACTGAGCTGGTTTTGTTTCTTGACGTCATAGTGACAGGACAAATGACATCCGGTCAATGATTTCTCAAACAAAATATCTCATACCAAATATCCCAGACCAAATATCTCAGACAAAATATCCCAGACAAAATATCTCAGACAAAATATTTTCTGTATTTTGGATGTTTTGGATAAACTAGAAATAAAGCGGAAGTGATCTCCCTAAACTTTCTCGAATATTCTTATATAACACTACGGGGGATGACAACTTGGTATATAGACATGATTTTTAATCCATTTTTAATTACTTAAACTTATTTAAATAGAGTAGAATCTCGTAGAAAAAAAATTGCGCACTCAGTGAACGGCAAACAATATATGTATAATAGTGCGGAATATTAGTACTTTATTAATTCATTTGCTTTTTTTTTTTTTTTTTGAGAAATCGGAAATAGCATAAATTACTACGTCCGGTCAACGGAAATTACTCAAAATTTGAGAGACGGCAGATATTTATATCTGTTACTTATATATGAAATTTTATTTATCTGTCTGAAGCAGTACTCAAGTTATACGTTTTTGAAAAAAGAAATCGATGAAAACTACAAATTTGATACAATACTTATATATGAAATGTCATCAAATTATCTATAACAGTACTCAAGTTATCGTGGCCACAGACATACACACACACACACATACATAGACACATACACATTTACGGACCTCGTGGAGGTGTAAAACGTCGAGATTTGTGAAAATTTTGATTTTTTTTTTACAAGCTTTTATTTAACTCACTTCATCTGTCTGTCGTCAGTCTAGATCGAAACGCCGGAGTGAAAATTCGGACACTTCTACTTGACCGATACGATTCACAGTTGGCACGTGGGTCAAGACATGAAGACAATGCAATCTGAAATTAAATTTGACTTAATTGGATACCTAATTAATTTTTTATGAATTAATTAAAATTTGGACCGAGTTAGTAGGCATGTCTATCCAACAACACCACACGCGTCATCACGTTCAATAGCTGCGCCATCACGTTAGTAGGCGCGCCATCACGTTCAGTAGGCGCGCAATGGTTTTTAGTCATGTAACTCTATTGTAAATAAAACATGTAAAGTACTGAAAAAAAATTCATAAAAAAACGTTTTAATAACAAGCTTTTATGTAATAATGCACTAAATAGTAGAAAATAAATTATAGACTACTATTTAAATAACTATAAAGAAAAGCGTGGGTGTCTTCCTTAACATGAGTAAAGGTATCCAAAAGATACTAAAGTGGCCCACGATTTTCTTTATAGTTATTTAAATAGTAGTCTATAATTTATTTTCTATTATTTAGTGCATTATTACATAAAAGCTCGTTATTAAAACGTTTTTTATGAATTTTTACAAGCTTTTTTTTTTTACTCACTTCCTCTGTCTGTCGTCAGTCTAGATCGAAACGCCGGAACGAAAAATCGGACACTTCTAACTGACAGATACGGTTCGTAATTGGTACGTGGGTCAAGACATGAAGACAATGCAATCTGAAATTAAATTTGACTTAATTGGATACCTAATTAATTTTTTTATAAATTAATTACAATTTTGACCAAATTAGTAGGCATTTCTACCCAACCACACCACACGCGTCATCACGATCAATAGCGAATTATCACGTTCAATAGGCTTGCAATGGTTTTTGTCATAAAATTCTATTGTAAATAAAAACATGTAAAGTACTAAAAAAATAAACCGGGAGTGATCTCCCCTAAACTTTCTCAAATATTCTTATATAGCTTGGAATATAGACATGATTTTTCATTACTTAAACTGTTAAAAATAGAATAGAATCTCATAGAAAAAATAATTGCGCACCAAGCGAAAGCCAAAACAAAATGTGCATAATAGTGCACAATATTATTAGTACTTTATAAATTTAAATGCGGTTTTTTTTTGAGAAATCAGAAATGGCGTAAATTAGTACTTCTGGTCAACGGAAATTACTCAAAATTTGACAGAAGGTAGAGAATTAGATCTTTTACTTACATGTGAAATTTCATTTATCTATCTGAAATAGTACTCAAGTTATAGGCTTTTGAAAAATTCAAAGTAGAAAAAGTACCACTTCCGGTTATCGGAAATCGCTCAAAAGTTGATCAAGATCTACGATTTTGATAAAATACTTATATTTGAAATTTCATCAACCTAGCTGTAACGGTACTCAAGTTATCGTGTTTACACACACACACACACACACACACACACGCGCGCACACAGACACACACACAGACATACGGATAAGATTGCAAAATTATGTTTTTCCGTATCAGTGAGGTGTAAAACGACGAGATTTGTAAAAATCTCGATTTTTTTTTTTTCACGATTACAAGACTTTCTCAATACTTCGTATATACGAGAAGGTAAAAATTCATAAAAAGCGTTTTAATAACAAGCTTTTATGTACTGATGCACTAAAAAGTAGAAAATAAATTTTACAGTACTATTTTTAATAAATTATATAAAGAAAAGCGTGGGTCTCTTCCTAAATATTAGTAAAGGTATCCAATAGATACTAAAGTGACCCACGCTTTTCTTTATAGTTATTTAACTAAATTTTACACTACTATTTAAATTTTAAATAGTAGTGTAAAATTTAGTTTCTACTTTTTAGTGCATTATTTACATAATAGCTTGTTATAAAAACGTTTTTTATGAAAAAAAAATTGCACTATTGCAATACTTCCTCTTTACTTCGTATACGAAAAAGTAAAACTACACAGGTTGGTCATTGTACATTAAACATTTAAAATTATAGTTTGTAGTACAAAAAGGTTAGTTGGACTTTTGATGTTTTGTTTAGTTGATTAAATTTATTTTAGTGTATTTCACAATTATAATCTTTTAAATGGAGTATATAAAAACCACATGATAATCAATTTAAAACATTTAGCTGAGAATATTTAGTCTAATACAATTCCGCCTGAGACCTTCCGGCCTGAAACCATTTGGCCTGAGACGTTCCGACCTGAGACTAATTGAGACCATCGGCCTGAGACCTTTCGAATTGAGACCTTCCGGCCTGAGACCATCCGAATTGAGACCATCGGCCTGACAACATCGGCCTGAGACCTTCCGACCTGAGACCATTCGGCCTGACACCATCCGAATTGAGACCATTGGCCTGAGACCATCGGCTTGAGACCTTACGACTTGAGACCTTCCGGCCTGAGACCTTCCGGCCTGAGACCTTCCGAATTGAGACCATTCTTAAGCAAAGTGTGCAGACGTTAGTAGTGAAGACACAATATAGCGTGCCATGACGCCACATGACGTATGATGTCATTCATAACGTCACCAAATGCAAGCAGTCAGACGCTCCGCCCATGAACAGTCAGACGCTCCGCCCATGAACAGTCAGACGCCCATGAAGGAAATTTCTCGTCATGTCTGGGGCTGGCTGAACACGTGGATTAACAATGGCGGAGCCAATCCTTTAGTTATGGTCGTACACCAGCCACTTCTGCACACGAACCAGTACACCCACCACCTTATTCAGTGGCATAGCCAGGATCTTCTCATTGGGGGGGGGGGTTAAAACTTTGACTTTATATATATATATATATATATATATATATATATATATATATATATATATATATATATATATATATATATATATATATATATATATATATATATATATATATATATATATAAGTAATACATACCATGGGCTACCAGTTAAGATTGTAGGGTAAAGAGTCACAGGAAAAAACAACACAGGGTAAAAAAACAGAAAAAAGTCAAAGGAAAAATAGTCACTAAAAAGTAGAAAATAAATTATATACTACTATTTAAATGACTATACAGAAAAACGTGGATATTTTCCTAAATATTAGTAAAGGTATCGAATCGATACTAAATTCGTATTCGTTTTGCTTTATAATTGTAATATATTGAGAATTGTGAAGTCAAGGGAACTCACTCTTCTTGTATTAGTCTTATATTTATAATGTTGTTTTGAGTGATGTCCCCTGGTTTTGTCATGTGTCTTCCGGTTTCGAATTGAACTTGATGGCGCAGCTATTGAACGTGATGACGCGTGTGGTGTGGTTGGATAAAAATGCCTACTAATTCGGTCCAAATTTTAATTAAATCCAAAAAAAATTTGTGACCGAACGAAAGGATATTTTTGAAAACTTTCTTCGGCAATATTGTTCTAAATTATGGCAGGAATCGATTGGTACATGTTTCAAGTCGCTAAGTGGTCTGGTTGCCGAGGTATGGGCCAAAACTGCATTTTTTCGAGGTTTTTTTTTTTTGGCTTTTCCGGGAAATCCATGAAAGAAACCCGGAATTCTTTTGACCTATGTTCATCCTCGTAACTTGCTTAACATAATTGCTTTTGGAACTAGTCCTCGATATTGCTTCGTTGAGGAGGAGATACGACTTAAAGCTGCGGACACACATCCATCCATCCATCCATCCATTCATTCATTCATACATCCAGAAATGACGGGTTAATAAACGCAATTCTCCAGAATGGAAATTGCGCTAAAAAAATTTTTTTAAAATAATGGCAGAAAGCTTCCCCCAATAGTCAGGGGATCTTTTATTCACCTTTTCAGGAAAAATGTCTGAAAAAATAAACACTTCCTTTGAAGTATTCTCAACGACTTCCCAACGTTTCTTGGCGATTCGATGAAAACCAAAAACTTATAGTTTTAGTAGCGCCATATTGTTTAAAGATTAATTTGATAAACAAATGAAATGTCATTAAGGTAAATTTATAGTGATGTTATTACGGATTGACCCTGTTCGACCCCCCCCCCCCCCATGAATCCCACTACTTGTAAAGTACGAAAGGACTGGGGGGCCTTTTTGGAACTTTTATTTCTACATTAGAAAAGAAACTGAATTATTTTCTTTTTTATTTTTAAATCATTTTTTATAAAACATATATTAAAACGCCACCCTAAAAAGTTTTAATTTTTTTAAGAGGGAAAAGGGCCCCTAAATGCCCTGGGCCCCTATGTCTTGCTTACGCTAGCTTTACGGTAGCTACGCCACTGGCCACATAGCTCACCAACTCCACCATTGCACCAATCACATGCTATACCACGTGACCAACTCAAGAATTGTGGGATTTTTTTATTTATTTCCGAGCAAACATGCAGAAAACAAGAGTTGCATAAGTTAGCTAACAGACCACGAGCTGTCACATGGCTAATTCAAACATAATATTGTAGTTTCTGGGCATAAATCATGGGACATTTCTATGTGACAACGTGACATTTGTATGTGACATGACGTGACATTTCAATTCGACATAACATGAGAGTCACGTGATGCAAAGGCACCATTTATTTTTACAGTGGCAGAATGTTTTGGCCAGCTCTGATATTGCTTGGTTTTTTATTTGGCCAGCACTGATATTGCTTGGTTTTTTATTTGGCCAACACTGATATTGCTTGGTTTTTATATTTGGCCAGCACTGATATTGCTTGGTTTTTTATTTGGCCAGCACTGATATTGCTTGGTTTTTTATTTGGCCAACACTGATATTGCTTGGTTTTTTATTTGGCCAGCACTGATATTGCTTGGTTTTTTTATTTGGCCAGCACTAATATTGCTTGGTTTTTTATTTGGCCAGCACTATTATTGCTTGGTTTTTATATTTGGCCAGCACTGGTATTGCTTGGTTTTTATATTTGGCCAGCACTGGTATTGTCTGGTTAGGTTTGGCCAGCACCGATATTGCTTGGATTTTTATTTGGCCGCGCGAAAAGAAATGTCCCTGATTGAAATATGGTTTCCAACTGATTCAATAAGCAGTTCATTTCAGTCTCACACTTCAAGGGTAACAAGTTTGTATGTTGCCTACACGGCTTGGTGTACACAGGTGTGAAATGTGCTCACACAGCTGTTGACAGCCGTACAGATGGCCTAACACAGCTGTACACAGCCGTACAGATGGCCTAACACAGCTGTACACAGCCGTACAGATGGCCTAACACAGCTGTACACAGCCGTACAGATGGCCTAACACAGCTGTACACAGCCGTACAGATGGCCTAACACAGCTGTACACAGCCGTACAGATGGCCTAACACAGCTGTTGACAGCCGTACAGATGGCCTAAACTTGAGTGATTTTTTTCTGAAAGCGCGGCACCGGCATGTCCAGGCTGAAATTATCGCTGACCGTGACGTCATCGACATTGACTTCATCAAACATGTCGCCATCACTGACGGGGTCAAGGACGTAGAGGTCGTCGTCGCTGGCTAGCCCTGGCCGGTAGTTGTCGTACTCCGACTCGCAGGCCGTGGAGCTGGAGTCGAGCAGGGCGTCAGACAGGGCGCTGCTGCTGGCCAGAGAGCTCAGGCTGGTGTGCTCCGCCCGGGGGGAGCCCGGCCCAAAGATGAGCGGCATCAGGTACGCGTGTCTGGTCCTGGGCGAGCTGGGGGGCGGGGAGTTGTCCTCCCTGTCGCTGGGGATGTAGTCGAGGCTCCGACAGTGTCGGGGCGGCGCCACGTGGGGCTGCCGGCGCTTGATCTGGAACGGGTTGATGGACATGCGCTGCTCGCCGCGGGCCCGGGGGGCGGGGGGCCTGCGCCCTCTGGCCGGGGTGTCGGCGTACAAGAGCTGGTCGAGGTGCGGCTGGTCGTACTCGTCTGTCAGCTCCTGCAGCAGCTGGCTCAGCGAGGCGGAGGTCTCGGGCTGGGGGAACTTGGGCGTGGGCGGGCAGCGGGGAATGCTATTTATAGTGTCACTCGACCTAGATCTAAAGCGGTCCAAGGAGCTGTAGGGGGAAGCCACGACATAGCTGAGGAGCTGCTCAAGCTGCTGGGGGGCGGGGCGGGCGGGCCGGAGGTGGATGGGCGTCAGGAACAAGACGGAGGAGTGGTCGCTGGGGGGACGGGACGAGATGGACTCGTCGTCTGACACGAAGTTCAAGTTGAAGGTCTCGAGTCTGGGGGACAGGTATGTCACGGGTTTGTGTGTAGGTGACGTCATTGGTTTGTGTGTAGGTGACGTCACTGGTTTGTGTGTAGGTGCAGAAGGATACGAGCGCCGGTTCATCCGGCTCACTTCCCGCGGGAACCGGCTCAGCCCGTTCCTCACGTTGTTAACCGGCTTACCTGCCGGTCTCTCCTCTGCCGGCAGTAAAGACATGGTCTTACCGTTGATGCTGGCCCTTAGGCCACCGGCCACAACGTTTTCATTGAGAGCAGGGGGCGTGTCGCGTAAAGTCACCTGGCTATGGGTGGTGACACGGGGTGACACCTGGCTATGTGTGGTGACACGAGGTGACACCTGGCTATGGGTGGTGACACGGGGTGACACCTGGCCATGGGTGGTGACACGAGGTGACACCTGGCCATGGGTGGTGACACGAGGTGACACCTGGCCATAGGTGGTACTACGTGGTGACACGGGTCCATGTAAGGATGATGTCTCAGACACATCGTCGTGTATGATAACAGTCTGTTCCGAGGAGGCGGTACTTCTGAGAGAAGGCGTGGCTGATTGGCACCTGTCGATGGGTTCCCTGTAGACCCCCGTGACCAGCTGCTCGTCGCTCGTCTCTCTGGCACTCTGGCGCCTCGAAAGGCACTCGGAGAGTTCGCTGTACCAGACTTCTTCGTGACTGGCTGTCGGGGGCGCCATGGGGGGCACTGGGGGCGCCATGACTGACGTAGATGGGAGTGTCATGGTTGACACACGAGAAGTGTCATCCTCTAAGACCGTGTCTTCTGCTACTCGCTTCAAGTGTGTCTTGCTGGTTGGCGAGACACACTTATAAATGGGGGCTTGTTTAGGAGGGCTTGAGAATGGGGCGGCTGGCGGCTTACATATCGGCTCAGAGTTGACTTTACGCAGCCCCGCGCCCATGTGGCTGCGAGCCATACAAGGGCTTGCCATTGTCTTGACAGCACGGGCGCCTTCACTGACCGTCGACTTGGGGCTGGTTGGGCTGGGGGCTGTAGCTCCTCGGGTCTTGAGGCTGTCGAACATCGAGTTCTGGACCTGAAAACTGCTGGGACGCGACTGCTGCATCTTGGCATTGAAGAAGTGGACGGCAGGCAGTTCGGGACTCTTGGCTTCGCTGCTGGACTTTCTCGGGGAACGTCTGTGTGCGCTGGGGCTGTCCACAGACGCTTGCCTCCTCTTGTGTAGGCTGTTTGTGGGCGTGTTCGGGCTGTCCAATGAGGCTTGCCTCCTCTTGTGTAGGCTGTTTGTGGGCGTGTTCGGGCTATCCAATGAGGCTTGCCTCCTCTTATGTAGGCTGTTTGTGGGCGTGTCTGAGAAAATCAGATCTGTGCTAGATCCCGTCTGCTGTGACGTCATACAAGGTACCGGAGAGAGTCCGGAAGTAGGCGGCAAGCTTTCCAGAGATCTGGGGAAACATTTGACGCTACAGGTGTGTGGTGCTACAGGTTTGTGGTGTTACAGGTGTGTGGTGCTACAGGTGTGTGACGCTATAGGTGTGTGATGCTATAGGTGTGTGGTGCTATAGGTGTGTTGTGTTACAGGTGTGTGGTGTTAAAGGTGTGTGATGTTACAGGTGTGTGGTGCTACAGGTGTGTGGTGTTACAGGTGTGTGATGTTACAGGTGTGTGATGTTACAGGTGTGTGATGTTACAGGTGTGTGGTGCTACAGGTGTGTGATGTTACAGGTGTGTGGTGCTACAGGTGTGTGACGCTATAGGTGTGTGATGCTATAGGTGTGTGGTGCTATAGGTGTGTTGTGTTACAGGTGTGTGGTGTTAAAGGTGTGTGATGTTACAGGTGTGTGGTGCTACAGGTGTGTGACGCCACAGGTGTGTGGTGTTACAGGTGTGTGGTGTTACAGGTGTGTGATGTTACAGGTGTGTGGTGTTACAGGTGTGTGATGTTACAGGTGTGTGATGTTACAGGTGTGTGATGTTACAGGTGTGTGGTGTTACAGGTGTGTGATGCTACAGGTATGTGATGTTACAGGTGTGTGATGCTACAGGTGTGTGGTGTTACAGGTGTGTGGTGTTACAGGTGTGTGGTGTTACAGGTGTGTGGTGTTACAGGTGTGTGGCGTTACAGGTGTGTGGTGTTACAGGTGTGTGATGCTACAGGTGTGTGGTGCTACAGGTGTGTGGTGTTACAGGTGTGTGATGTTACAGGTGTGTGACGCCACAGGTGTGTGGTGTTACAGGTGTGTTGTGTTACAGGTGTGTGGTGTTAAAGGTGTGTGATGTTACAGGTGTGTGACGCTACAGGTGTGTGACGCTACAGGTGTGTGGTGTTACAGGTGTGTGGTGTTACAGGTGTGTGATGTTACAGGCGTGTGATGCTACAGGTGTGTGATGTTACAGGTGTGTGACGCTACAGGTGTGTGGTGTTACAGGTGTGTGATGTTACAGGTGTGTGATGTTACAGGTGTGTGATGTTACAGGTGTGTGATGTTACAGGTGTGTGATGTTACAGGTGTGTGATGCTATAGGTGTGTGGTGTTACAGGTGTGTGGTGTTACAGGTGTGTGGTGTTACAGGTGTGTGATGCTACAGGTGTGTGACGCTACAGGTGTGTGGTGCTACAGGTGTGTGGTGTTACAGGTGTGTGATGTTACAGGTGTGTGATGTTACAGGTGTGTGACGCCACAGGTGTGTGGTGTTACAGGTGTGTTGTGTTACAGGTGTGTGGTGTTAAAGGTGTGTGATGTTACAGGTGTGTGACGCTACAGGCGTGTGACGCTACAGGTGTGTGGTGTTACAGGTGTGTGGTGTTACAGGTGTGTGATGTTACAGGTGTGTGACGCTACAGGTGTGTGATGTTACAGGTGTGTGATGTTATAGGTGTGTGATGCTACAGGTGTGTGGTGTTACAGGTGTGTGACGCTACAGGTGTGTGATGTTACAGGTGTGTGATGTTATAGGTGTGTGATGCTACAGGTGTGTGGTGTTACAGGTGTGTGATGCTACAGGTGTGTGATGTTACAGGTGTGTGATGCTACAGGTGTGTGGTGTTACAGGTGTGTGGTGTTACAGGTGTGTGATGTTACAGGTGTGTGATGCTACAGGTGTGTGGTGTTACAGGTGTGTGATGTTACAGGTGTGTGGTGTTACAGGTGTGTGATGCTACAGGTGTGTGATGTTACAGGTGTGTGATGCTACAGGTGTGTGGTGTTACAGGTGTGTGATGTTACAGGTGTGTGGTGTTACAGGTGTGTGATGCTACAGGTGTGTGATGTTACAGGTGTGTGATGTTACAGGTGTGTGGTGTTACAGGTGTGTGATGTTACAGGTGTGTGGTGTTACAGGTGTGTGATGTTACAGGTGTGTGGTGTTACAAGTGTGTGATGCTACAGGTGTGTGGTGCTACAGGTGTGTGGTGTTACAGGTGTGTGATGTTACAGGTGTGTGACGCCACAGGTGTGTGGTGTTACAGGTGTGTTGTGTTACAGGTGTGTGGTGTTAAAGGTGTGTGATGTTACAGGTGTGTGACGCTACAGGTGTGTGACGCTACAGGTGTGTGGTGTTACAGGTGTGTGGTGTTACAGGTGTGTGATGTTACAGGCGTGTGATGCTACAGGTGTGTGATGTTACAGGTGTGTGATGCTACAGGTGTGTGGTGTTACAGGTGTGTGGTGTTACAGGTGTGTGGTGTTACAGGTGTGTGGTGTTACAGGTGTGTGGTGTTACAGGTGTGTGATGCTACAGGTGTGTGGTGTTACAGGTGTGTGATGTTACAGGTGTGTGACGCCACAGGTGTGTGGTGTTACAGGTGTGTTGTGTTACAGGTGTGTGGTGTTAAAGGTGTGTGATGTTACAGGTGTGTGACGCTACAGGTGTGTGACGCTACAGGTGTGTGGTGCTACAGGTGTGTGGTGTTACAGGTGTGTGATGTTACAGGTGTGTGACGCCACAGGTGTGTGGTGTTACAGGTGTGTTGTGTTACAGGTGTGTGGTGTTAAAGGTGTGTGATGTTACAGGTGTGTGACGCTACAGGTGTGTGACGCTACAGGTGTGTGGTGTTACAGGTGTGTGGTGTTACAGGTGTGTGATGTTACAGATGTGTGATGTTACAGGTGTGTGATGTTACAGGTGTGTGATGCTACAGGTGTGTGGTGTTACAGGTGTGTGGTGTTACAGGTGTGTGGTGTTACAGGTGTGTGGTGTTACAGGTGTGTGATGCTACAGGTGTGTGGTGCTACAGGTGTGTGGTGCTACAGGTGTGTGATGTTACAGGTGTGTGACGCCACAGGTGTGTGGTGCTACAGGTGTGTGGTGCTACAGGTGTGTGACGCTACAGGTGTGTGGTGTTACAGGTGTGTGGTGTTACAGGTGTGTGGTGTTACAGGTGTGTGATGTTACAGGTGTGTGACGCTACAGGTGTGTGATGTTACAGGTGTGTGATGTTATAGGTGTGTGATGCTACAGGTGTGTGGTGTTACAGGTGTGTGACGCTACAGGTGTGTGGTGTTACAGGTGTGTGGTGTTACAGGTGTGTGACGCTATAGGTGTGTGGTGTTACAGGTGTTTGGTGTTACAGGTGTGTGGTGTTACAGGTGTGTGGTGTTACAGGTGTGTGGTGTTACAGGTGTGTTGTGTTACAGGTGTGTGGTGTTACAGGTGTGTGATGTTACAGGTGTGTGACGCTACAGGTGTGTGATGTTACAGGTGTGTGATGTTATAGGTGTGTGATGCTACAGGTGTGTGGTGTTACAGGTGTGTGACGCTACAGGTGTGTGGTGTTACAGGTGTGTGGTGTTACAGGTGTGTGATGTTACAGGTGTGTGGTGCTACAGGTGTGTGATGCTACAGGTGTGTGATGTTACAGGTGTGTGATGTTACAGGTGTGTGGTGTTACAGGTGTGTGGTGCTACAGGTGTGTGATGTTACAGGTGTGTGGTGCTACAGGTGTGTGATGCTACAGGTGTGTGGTGCTACAGGTGTGTGATGTTACAGGTGTGTGATGCTACAGGTGTGTGGTGTTACAGGTGTGTGATGTTACAGGTTTGTGGTGCTACAGGTGTGTGATGCTACAGGTGTGTGATGTTACAGGTGTGTGATGTTACAGGTGTGTGGTGTTACAGGTGTGTGATGTTACAGGTGTGTGGTGCTACAGGTGTGTGATGCTACAGGTGTGTGGTGCTACAGGTGTGTGATGCTACAGGTGTGTGGTGCTACAGGTGTGTGGTGCTACAGGTGTGTGGTGCTACAGGTGTGTGGTGCTACAGGTGTGTGGTGCTACAGGTGTGTGGTGTTACAGGTGTGTGGTGCTATAGGTGTGTGGTGCTATAGGTGTGGTGTTAAAGGTGTGTGGTGTTACATGTGTGTGATGCATAAGCAAGCTGTGTGACTCATGTGACTGGTGGCATGACGTCATACAGGTTCGCCCTACCTGCATGTGGGTGTGCCACTGGGCTGGGGACTGTCAGGTGGGGTGGTAGGGGGGTAGATACAGCTAGGGTCTCTGGGAACGATCCGGTCCTTCAACAGGTAAGTCACCATCTCGCCCTTCCCCTTGACGGGAACCTTGCCGCGACATTCAAAGGTGAAGACGTTTTTGAGCACAGCAAACACTTCCTCTGTCACCTGCAGTAAAGTGGACGGTAGTAACGACCTATGTAAGACTGACTGCAGTCTAGATGACCTATGTGACCTTAAGTACAGATAACCTATGTGACCTTCAGTCAAGATGACCTATGTGACCTTCAGTCTAGATAACCTATGTGACCTTCAGTACCGATGACCTATGTGACTGACCTGCACACGTCCTGAGAGCCCAGTGCTCTCCATGCGACTGGCGACATTGACGGTGTTGCCCCAGATGTCGTACTGCGGCTTGCGGGCCCCGATGACACCCGCCACCACTGGGCCCACATTCACACCTGGGGATATAGGAAACACATAGACTCACACCTGGGGATATAGGAAACACATGTACTTACACCTGGGGATATAGGAAACACATGTACTCACACCTGGGGATATAGGAAACACATGTACTCACACCTGGGGATATAGGAAACACATGTACTCACACCTGGGGATATAGGAAACACATGTACTCACACCTGGGGATATAGGAAACACATGTACTCACACCTGGGGATATAGGAAACACATGTACTCACACCTGGGGATATAGGAAACACATGTACTCACACCTGGGGATATAGGAAACACATGTACTCACACCTGGGGATATAGGAAACACATGTACTCACACCTGGGGATATAGGAAACACATGTACTCACACCTGGTGATATAGGAAACACATGTACTCACACCTGGGGATATAGGAAACACATGTACTCACACCTGGGGATATAGGAAACACATGTACTCACACCTGGGGATATAGGAAACACATGTACTCACACCTGGGGATATAGGAAACACATGTACTCACACCTGGGGATATAGGAAACACATGTACTCACACCTGGGGATATAGGAAACACATGTACTCACACTTGGGGATATAGGAAACACATGTACTCACACCTGGGGATATAGGAAACACATGTACTCACACCTGGGGATATAGGAAACACATATACTCACACCTGGGGATATAGGAAACACATGTACTCACACCTGGGGATATAGGAAACACATGTACTCACACCTGGGGATATAGGAAACACATGTACTCACACTTGGGGATATAGGAAACACATGTACTCACACCTGGGGATATAGGAAACACATATACGTGTGTACCTGGGGAGAAGAGTTGCCGTCTGCGGTGACATAGGTAACACATATACATCTGTACATGACACAATGACGACACAACACTAACATGTACTCACCAACACACAGATGTACTCACAAACACATGTGACATACTTAGGTCTTCTTTTTTTAATAGTTTAATTTTATTAATATTTAAATGACCTTGAGCTATCTTTTGTTTAAGAAATTTTTCACCAGACTCATGTGATAGTATTCACAACTGTGTTCGTGTTACTCGTGTTTTGGTTCCATCCCCCAAAGGTCCTTCACATTGCTGTCAACATCCCATAATTTTAGAGTAGTACTAGACTACCCGTCATCCGTTGGATAACTGTGGGTTTCGGGGGTCATCCATAAAAAAACATCACGTCTGTCAGAGGCGTAGCGACCCTTCCCGCTGCCCGGGGACAAACTTTTCGATTTGAACCCCCCCCCCCCCGCAAGATTTTGATTTGCACCCCCCCTTAAACTTTCGATGTGCGCCCCCACCCTCAAGATTTCGATTTGCACCCCCCCTCATACTTTCGATTTGCACCCCCCTCAACCTTTCAATTTATTTTTCCAACCTATTTTAGCGCCCCCTAAGGTCAGCGCCAGGGGACATATGTCCCCCCCCCCCCTCGCTACGCTACTGCAGTGTCACTTATCGTCACACAAAAAACAGACCCCACATTCAAAAGGATGTTTTTTTATCTTTTAAAAATACTGAAAACACCGATTTCAGACTATCCCTTCATATACTGACGTCACAGGTGACCTCCTCAACTCTACTTCACCTGCCCAGTGTCCCGTCAAGTCTCAGACAACATGTTTTTATCGTTAAAAAAAACGATTCCTGCCGAGCATGGTTCTGACCACAATATCCCTTAATATGCTTAGGGGTCATCCATAAATGACGTCACACTCGTAGGGGGGAGGGGGGGTCCGTAATTTTGTGACGATGTGTGATGAGGGGGAGGGGGGGTTCAGATGTTGCGACGTCACATTTTTGCACTATAAGAAAGCAATGTTAGAAAACGAATTTTAGACGTTATTTCGCGTTTTAGATAACTGTTTTAATAAATTGTAATAGTTTAGACAAGACTTTGGAAAAATATCGATGTTTTAAAAAAATTCAACTGCAATTTTGAGGGGGGGGGGGGGTTGTAGGTTGAGGTGTGACGTCATTTTAGGGGGGGGTCTGACTTTTTGTGACGACGTGTGACGGAGGGGAGGGGGGGAGGTAAAAATCGTCCAAAAAAGCGTGACGTCATTTATGGATGACCCCTTAGGACAAAGAAACAGATTAACTCTACTTCACCTGCCCTGTATCCCGCCAAGTTCAGATAGGCAACTTTATCATTCACATCCAAAAAATAAAATAAAAATTGAAAAAATAAATTATCATTGACGTATTGGTCTAGAACCTGTGCCACCCGCATGAGAGCCGATTAAACTAACAACTTAGCTATTTAACTCGTGACGGCACATATGAATTTTTCTACTATACTTTAATACTTTGAGTCTCCTTATGCAACTTGACTTACTTGCATAGATCTAGATCTAAGTCTAGTAGTAGTAACTTTCAAATTAAATTTTATCTTAAATTAGCCAAACAAAGATTTATATAAAATAAAGAAGGTCTGAAATTATCTAGATCTAGATAGAATTATCTAGATCTAGATTCTACGACTCGTTTGCTTAAGTCTCGTTTTTTTTTTGGATTGTATTTATAACTAATAAATCTTTGATTTGACCTAGATTCTAGATCTATAAATAACTTTCTTGGACAGATTGTAGATCTAGAGAAATTTATCGTAAAACTAAATGAAAAAGACAGTTGAAAATTGCTATAAGTGTTGGTACGTAATAAATACAGCAAACGGACGTATTGTTAAACTTAAAGCCGACAGAAAATTAGCTTTACAACGCGTTAAACATTGGAATGGGAACACAATCTTCTTCGATAGGCCGCCATTATTGATGTAAAAAAAATTAACACATCATGTGACGTCACTGTTTCCGTCGAGTGTAGTGGTTTTTCTAATCTTTTAAAAAAAATATGGTTAATCTACCTATGAATAAATCAATACATTAATTAACGTCTTTAAATAAATTTGTGATTAACAGTCTGTTTGCAATAAAAATTATTCTCTACCTACATACTATTTTACAGCTCTCCAGAGAGTAGAACTATTCACTATACTAGATCAGACAAACAAAAAAACAAACAAAAAAATAAATAATCAAACATGTAAACAAAGTTGAGTTTTAGTAGTATATAGATAGATAGATAAAAAGGAGGAATTTTCCAAACACGAGACGCGCACAAGACACCCATACAGAACCATGGCTCATAGCATCCATGTTGTGTTAGGCCGTAATTTACTTATGTTTCAATAGTACTCAGTATTTAATTTTTCACAGTTAGATATTTTACCCAGTGTTAATTGTAGAAAGAAGTGTTTGTGATTTCCATGAAATTGTAAGTTGGGTTATAAAATATTGTATAGTTTTTGCATTGTATTTTATTATTTAGACTTGTTTGCTTTTTAGAAGGTTTTAGATTGATTAAAAGTTCTATTAGTTTCAAAAGGTCTTTGTATTTGTATTAACCCTATACATTAGATTTCGAGTATACGAAGAGTTTTTTTGTTTCTAGTAATCTTTTATAGTTTCGTATAGTTCATCAGTCTGGAACCATCCCAAAGGAATACGGGTGTTGCGTAATATTTATCAGTTGTAGAGTTACGTAACACACACAACACGCAAATGTACTCACCAACACACAGATGTACTCACCAACACACAACACACCGATGTACTCACCAACTCTCAGTTCGAAATTGTTGTAAGAGTTCTCGTTGATGTTTTTCAGTTTTTCCTTCATGGCCATCACAAAATCCACGACCATAGTCAGATAGAAGGTCACGGATTCTTCTCGCACCTGCTCACAGAAAGGTCAACTCAGATTTATCTGCACGGGTCACCGCATAGGCCTACCACGTGACAGGTATATTACATAATCTTTCGCATGCCATATAGATTACGTCACATCTAGATCACGTCACATTTAGATCTCGTCACATCTAGATCACGTCACATCTAGATCACGTTACATCGAGATCACGTCACATATAGATCACGTCACATCTAGATCACGTCACATCTAGATCACGTCACATATAGATTACGTCACATATAGATCACGTCACATATAGATCACGTCACATCTAGATCACGTTACATCGAGATCACGTCACATATAGATCACGTCACATCTAGATCACGTCACATATAGATCACGTCACATATAGATCACGTCACATCTAGATCACGTCACATATAGACCACGTCACATATAGATCACGTTACATCGAGATCACGTCACATATAGATCACGTCACATATAGATCTCGTCACATCTAGATCACGTCACATATAGATCACGTCACATCTAGATCACGTCACATACAGATCTCGTCACATCTAGATCACGTCACATATAGATTACGTCACATATAGATTACGTCACATATAGATCACGTCACATATAGATCACGTCACATCTAGATCACGTTACATCGAGATCACGTCACATATAGATCACGTCACATATAGATCACGTCACATCTAGATCACGTCACATATAGATTACGTCACATATAGATCACGTCACATATAGATCACGTCACATCTAGATCACGTCACATACAGATCTCGTCACATCTAGATCACGTCACATATAGATTACGTCACATATAGATCACGTCACATATAGATCACGTCACATACAGATCTCGTCACATCTAGGTCACGTTACATCGAGATCACGTCACATATAGATCACGTCACATCTAAATCACGTCACATATAGATTACGTCACATATAGATCACGTCACATATAGATCACGTCACGTATATTTCACGTCACATCTAGATCACGTTACATCGAGATCACGTCACATATAGATCACGTAACATAATTTTAAGGATGTGTCACCTTGACCAGGTGTGTGGGTATAATGACTCACCTTGACCAGGTGTGTGGGTTTAAGTCCAGTGGCCGCCATATAGCAACTGCCGATAGTTTTTATTTTCTCAACTCCGTAGAAGTATGGGCTATCTAGTAGCTGCGGATAGACAAGAGGTCAGTTGAACACAGTGGTCAGTTGAACACAGTGGTCAGTTGAACACAGTGGTCAGTTGAACACAGTGGTCAGTTGAACACAGTGGTCAGTTGAACACACAGACAGTGGTCAGTTGAACACACAAACAGTGGTCAATTGAACATACAGAGAGTGGTCAGTTGAACACACAGACAGTGGTCAGTTGAACACACAGACAGTGGTCAATTGAACACACAAACAGTGGTCAATTGAACATACAGAGAGTGGTCAGTTGAACACACAGACAGTGGTCAGTTGAACACACAGACAGTGGTCAATTGAACACACAGTGGTCAGTTGAACACACAGACAGTCGACAGTTGAACACACAGACAGTGGTCAGTTGAACACAGTGGTCAATTGAACACACAGACAGTGGTATGTTGAACACACAGACATTGGTCAGTTGAACACACAGACAGTGGTCAGTTGAACACACAGACAGTGGTCAGTTGAACACACAGTGGTCAGTTGAACACACAGACAATTGTCAGTTGAACAGACAGTGGTCAGTTGAACACACAGACAGTGATTAATTGAACACACAGAGAGTGGTCAGTTGAACTCACAGAGAGTGGTCAGTTGAACACACAGTGGTCAATTGAACACACAGACAGTGATCAATGTAACACACAGACAGTTGTCAGTTGAACACACAGTGGTCAGTTGAATACACAGACAGTGGTCAGTTGAACACACAGTGGTCAATTGAACACACAGACAGTGATCAATGTAACACACAGACAATTGTCAGTTGAACACACAGTGGTCAATTGAACACACAGAGAGTGGTCAGTTGAACACAGAGAGTGGTCAATTGAACACACATCCAGTGTTCAGTACGCCTACAAGAGCTCCATTGGCCTGTACCTCGTCAAAGTCTGCGATGATTTCATTGAGCACCCTCAGACACTCGACCCCCTGGTTGTTGGCCGCCAGCTCCACGTAGAAGTTGGAGAAGTTGGGGATGGAGGCGAAGAACACGCCCACTTTGTTGTACTGTTGGCTGTACAGCTCCTGCAGACGGCAACCCAATGACGTCACGAACACACACATGGGACAGTCGCAAACTTTACAATCGGATGTTAACAACCGTTCAGTCACTAGGTTGTTAAACATTAACGGGTTAACGGGGGGGGGGGGGGGGGGGCTGACAAAGCAGCAGCACTGGGCCCCAATTTTCAACTCGCACACCTTCATCTGTCTAAGGATAAAGTGAAGTACTACCTGCATCAGTCTAAGGGTAAAGTGAAGTACTACCTTCATCTGTCTAAGGATAAAGTGAAGAACTACCTTCATCTGTCTAAGGATAAAGTGAAGTACTACCTTCATCTGTCTAAGAATAAAGTGAAGTACTACCTTCATCTGTCTAAGAATAAAGTGAAGTACTACCTTCATCTGTCTAAGAATAAAGTGAAGTACTACCTTCATCTGTCTAAGGATAAAGTGAAGTACTACCTTCATCTGTCTAAGAATAAAGTGAAGTACTACCTGCATTAGTCTAAGAATAAAGTGAAGTACTACCTTCATCTGTCTAAGGATAAAGTGAAGTACTACCTGCATCAGTCTAAGGATAAAGTGAAGTACTACCTGCATCAGTCTAAGGATAAAGTGAAGTACTACCTGCATCAGTCTAAGGATAACGTGAAGTACTACCTGCATCAGTCTAAGGATAAAGTGAAGTACTACCTGCATCAGTCTAAGGATAAAGTGAAGTACTACCTGCATCAGTCTAAGGATAAAGTGAAGTACTACCTGCATCAGTCTAAGGATAAAGTGAAGTACTACCTGCATCAGTCTAAGGATAAAGTGAAGTACTACCTGCATCAGTCTAAGGATAAAGTGAAGTACTACCTGCATCAGTCTAAGGATAAAGTGAAGTACTACCTGCATCAGTCTAAGAATAAAGTGAAGTATTACCTTCATCTGTCTAAGGATAAAGTGAAGTACTACCTGCATCAGTCTAAGGATAAAGTGAAGTACTACCTGCATTAGTCTAAGAATAAAGTGAAGTACTACCTTCATCTGTCTAAGGATTAAGTGAAGTACTACCTGCATCAGTCTAAGGATAAAGTGAAGTACTACCTGCATCAGTCTAAGGATAAAGTGAAGTACTACCTGCATCAGTCTAAGGATAAAGTGAAGTACTACCTGCATCAGTCTAAGGATAAAGTGAAGTACTACCTGCATCAGTCTAAGGATAAAGTGAAGTACTACCTGCATCAGTCTAAGGATAAAGTGAAGTACTACCTGCATCAGTCTAAGGATAAAGTGAAGTACTACCTGCATCAGTCTAAGGATAAAGTGAAGTACTACCTGCATCAGTCTAAGGATAAAGTGAAGTACTACCTGCATCAGTCTAAGGATAAAGTGAAGTACTACCTGCATCAGTCTAAGGATAAAGTGAAGTACTACCTGCATCAGTCTAAGGATAAAGTGAAGTACTACCTGCATCAGACTTACCATTTGACATCACTTACCCTAAGACATGACTTACCATATGAAATGACTTACCAAATGACATGACTTACCATATGAAATGACTTACCAAACTACATGACTTTACCAAATGACATGACTTACCAAATGACATGACTTACCAAATGACATGACTTACCATCTGACATGACTTACCAAATGACATGACTTACCAAATGACATGAGTTACCATATGACAAGGCTTACCAAATAACATGACGTACCATATGACATGACTTACCAAATGACATGACTTACCAAATGACATGACTTACCAAATGACATGACGTACCAAATGACATGACTTACCAAATGACATGACTTACCAAATGACATAACTTACCATATGAAATGACTTACCAAATGACATGACTTTACCAAATGACATGACTTACCAAATGACATGACTTACCATCTGACATGACTTACCAAATGACATGACTTACCAAATGACATGACGTACCAAATGACATGACTTACCAAATGACATGACTTACCATATGAAATGACTTACCAAATGACATGACTTTACCAAATGACATGACTTTCCAAATGACATGACTTACCATCTGACATGACTTACCAAATGACATGACTTACCAAATGACATGACGTACCAAATGACATGACTTACCAAATGACATGACTTACCATATGAAATGACTTACCAAATGACATGACTTACCAAATGACATAACTTACCAAATGACATGACGTACCAAATGACATGACTTACCAAATGACATGACTTACCAAGTGACATTACTTACCATCTGACATGACTTACCAAATGACATGACTTACCAAATGACATGACTTACCAAATGACATGACTTACCAAATGACATGACTTACTAAGTGACATTACTTACCATCTGACATGACTTACCAAATGACATGACTTACCAAATGACATGAGTTACCATATGACATGGCTTACCAAATAACATGACGTACCAAATGACATGACTTACCAAATGACATGACTTACCAAATGACATGACTTACCAAATGACATGCCTTACCAAATGACATGACTTACCAAATGACATGACTTACCAAATGACATGACTTACCATATGACTTGTAGTCTGCAGTTGCAGGAAGTGGTTAGCAACATGTTCAGGCAATAAATTGCACAATATTCTGGAGTTCTGTCTTTGCAATTCTTGCATTCCACACTTTTCTTCTGCTGCCTAAAGGAGGGTATTAAATGGATCAGTAGGTTAGTAGGTCTAAGGATATATATAAATATATATATATATATATATATATATATATATATATATATATATATATATATATATATATATATATATATATATATATATATATATATATATATGCTCCATTTGCATGTGTGTTTTAAAGAGTTGCGAATGATACTATATTTGGCCTAGTAATAGTATGGATGCATTTCAATCTTGAATCTACCAAATTACACTACCTAATTACAATGCCTAATTATATTACCTTATTACAATGCCTAATTACCATACCACCAAATACTACAAACGTGTTAGGTTCATGTGCTGGGACTATTTCATACGTTAAGTACAAGGGGAAAATTGATGAAGTCCAACTGCTAGGGAAGGCGTGGTCACTGGCCAACCCACTGACCTACAAACTATTGTGGTCACTGGCCCACACACTATTGTGGTCACTGGCCAACCCACTGACCTACACACTATTGTGGTCACTGGCCAACCCACTGACCTACACACTATTGTGGTCACTGACCAACCCACTGGCTCACAAACTAGTGTGGTCACTGGCCCACACACTAGTGGGGGGGGGGGCTGGTAAGGCTGCAGTCAGGGCCCCCATTTTTAGGGGCCCCAAAATCTACGTTTTTTTAATTGTTGGATTTCACTATAAAAACTAAAGTTTTAATGTTTGCATCAGAAGCTTTAATTTTTCTACAAAATATCTTACACGTGCATACACTTAATTATAAATACCAACTGCTATCAGCTCATACCCAGATATTGTTTATATAAAACCGACCGTCCCTAAAATAACATAGTCCGGACCCGCACTCGCTTATAACATAAAATAATGTGATTTTAGTGTTAAAAAACAAACAGCAGCCAAATTGTGATAAATAATCAACCCATCTTCTTTAAAATCTTTTTATTTTTAATTTGTTAAAATAACAAGCCATTTTATTTACAAAACAAATGCTACAAAATATGAGTTGTTCCTCATAAAAATCTTCAAAACGCCCCGGTCTAATTAAGACTTTATATTGTCTATGAACAAACAAGGGCTGCTGAGTAGGCATAACGGCCTCCGTCTGTTGGTTCAGAATGTGCGAATAGAAGCAGGAAATAAAAAGTGTTATTAATAATATTTAGCATGCCTTTAGATGCAATACCATCAACGGACGATATCAAGGCAGGTTAGTGATACACATAGTACCGCTTGTTAATGACGATTACGTGACATGTACTGTAATCAACAACAGATGATATCCACGTTTTAGTGATATCAATAGTCCTACAGATAACAAGACCAAGAATGTCACGTCCAAACGGAGAGCACAGCCCATAGAAAACTCGCAAATGAAAATGTGTTGACAAGACACGTCAGCCAGCTTGAGAGAGGGGCTGGGAATGATGGTAGAGGGAAATATCTTTCAGACTGATGCTGCACAATACAAATGACACATGTCATCACATGACACATATAAACATCTCAGTAAATGTCTTCGCATCCGGCCCCCTCAGCCTACAGACATAATAAGGCACGCTAAACAAGGCATGCGTACAACAGAGGTTACTGGATTAGTCCAAGACGCTGGCTATGTGGTCTCTGTGGTGTGATGTGGTCAGTTGTGTAGTGTGCTGGTGGTGTGTTGTATGGTTGTAGTGTAGTTGTGGTGTGGTGTGTGGTTGTAGTGTGGTGTGTAGTTATAGTGTGGTGTGTGGTGTGGTCAGGGGTAAGGGACATTGATGGAAGGATGCATCAACTTACCAAGGTGTACTGGAAGAAAGAATGAAACAAAAAATTCTGACAATCAGCAGAAAGCCTACAGTCAATCAGATTCATGTCACAACACACATGACACAATCGTTGTGTCACACTTGCTAATGTTAACCAGGCGCCTCCGTATTGATGTCATCATGCTACTATGTCATCATTCATTATGTCACCATCGCCATGTCACCATCATTATGTCATACTACCATCTTTATGTTATGTCACCATCACCATGTCATCATGTAACCATCATGTCACCATCATCATGTCACCATCATCATATAACCATGTCACCATCATCATGTCATCATGTCACCATCATCATGTCACCATCATCATGTCACCATCCTCATGTCACCATCTGCACGTCACCATGTCACCATCCTCATGTCACCATCCTTATGTCACCATCATCATGTCACCATCACCATGTCACCATCCTCATGTCACCATCTGCACGTCACCATGTCACCATCCTCATGTCACCATCCTTATGTCACCATCATCATGTCACCATGTCACCATCCTCATGTCACCATCTGCACGTCACCATGTCACCATCCTCATGTCACCATCCTCATGTCACCATGTCACCATCCTCATGTCACCATCCTCATGTCACCATGTCACCATCCTCATGTCACCATGTCACCATCCTCATGTCACCATGTCACCATCCTCATGTCACCATCTGCACGTCAGCATGTGAGCACTGACCTGAGTTTTCCACAGATAGTCTAGCCGGAGTGTCCACTCTTGCTCCCTGGTCTGTAAGGTGAAGCCCAGCAGGAAGATGACGAAAGCGAGGATCCCAGTTACGTCAGCGGGCACAAGGGAGCTGCAAGAGACACGACATCCTGACGTCAGGTTGTAATGGATGCCTCGTCAAGCTACTGGTCAGTGGTAGTCAGCTGATCTCATTGGTCAGCAGTGGTCAGCTGATCTCATAGGCCAGTAGTGGTCAGCTGATCTCATTGGCCAGTAGTGGTCAGCTGATCTCATTGGCCAGTAGTGGTCAGCTGATTTCATTGGTCAGTAGTGGTCAGCTGATCTCATTGGTCAGTAGTGGTCAGCTGATCTCATTGGCCAGTAGTGGTCAGCTGATCTCATTGGCCAGTAGTGGTCAGCTGATCTCATTGACCAGTAGTGGTCAGCTGATCTCATTGGCCAGTTGTGGTCAGCTGATCTCATTGATCAGTAGTGGTCAGCTGATCTCATTGGCCAGTAGTGGTCAGCTGATCTCATTGGTCAGTAGTGGTCAGCTGATCTCATTGCTCAACAGTGGTCAGTAGTGGTCAGCTGATCTCATTGCTCAACAGTGGTCAGCTGATCTCATTGGCCAGTAGTGGTCAGCTGATCTCACCTGACATCCTGATCAAACTTCTGGAACAGTGACTTGTGGGTGATCTCCATGACGACGATGTGCCCCGCGGCAATGAGGATCATGACGGCCATCTTGATGAGCGGGTTGACCTTGATGAAGAGGGAGAGGAGGAAGAAGCAGAGGATGCCTGAGATGACGATGTAGTTGGGGTCGCTACAGGTCAGGTGCTGGTCCTGGTTCATCAGGCTCAGACCTTCAAGGAAGTCCAGGCCGTGCCCGCCGCTACAACACAGCTGAAACACACGACACACGGGCTCTTACAGGACACACGGACACTTACAGGACATACGGACACTTACACGACATACGGGCACTTACACGACACACTGGCTCTTACATGACACACTGGCTCTTACACGACACACGGACACTTACACGACACACGGACACTTTCAGGACACACAGACACTTACACGACCCCCCCCCCTGGAGAAAAAAGTCTGGAAGAAACACTGCATACGACCTCCCCCTCACCCACCTACTCGCCACATTGAGTTGAACCATGACATATGGGATGACCCCCCCTCACCCACAATGAGTTAAACCATGACATATGGGATGACCCCCTCCTCACCCACAATGAGTAGAACCATGACATATGGGATGACCCCCATCACCCACAATGAGTTGAACCATGACATATGGGATGACCCCCCCCCCCCCTCACCCACACAACACAATGAGTTGAACCATGACATATGGGATGACCCCCTCCTCACCCACAATGAGTTGAACCATGACATATGGGATGACCCCCTCCTCACCCACAATGAGTTGAACCATGACATATGGGATGACCCCCCCCCCCCACCCACTCACCACATTGAGTTGAACCATGACATATGGGATGACCCCCCCCCCCTCACCCACTCACCACATTGAGTTGAACCATGACATATGGGATGACCCCCCCCCCTCACCCACTCACCACATTGAGTTGAACCATGACATATGGGATGACCCCCCCCCTCACCCACTCACCACATTGAGTTGAACCATGACATATGGGATGACCCCCCCCCCTCACCCACTCACCACATTGAGTTGAACCATGACATATGGGATGACCCCCCCCCCTCACCCACTCACCACATTGAGTTGAACCATGACATATGGGATGACCCCCCCCCTCACCCACTCACCACATTGAGTTGAACCATGACATATGGGATGACCCCCCCCCCCTCACCCACTCACCACATTGAGTTGAACCATGACATATGGGATGACCCCCCCCCCCTCACCCACTCACCACATTGAGTTGAACCATGACATATGGGATGACCCCCCCCCCCCCACCCACACAACACATTGAGTAGAACCATGACATATGGGATGACCCCCCCCCCCTCACCCACTCACCACATTGAGTTGAACCATGACATATGGGATGAGTACAGTCGTAAGTGACAAGAATAGCCGCAGTCTAGCCCACTTGGTGAAGTCAACGTCAGTACACTGTAGGGACATTCAGGTGATGTTTCAGGTGATGTTTAAGGTGGTGTTTCAGGTGATGTTTCATGTGATGTTTCAGATGATGTTTCAGATGATGTTTTAGGGGATGTTTCAAGTGATGTTTCAGGTGATGTTTTAGGGGATGTTTCAAGTGATGTTTCAGGTGGTTTCAGGTGATGTTTTATGGGATGTTTCAGGTGATGTTTCAGGTGTTTCGGTTGATATTACATGTGATGTTCGAGGTGATGTTTTAGGTGATGTTTTAGGTTATGTTACAGTTGATGTTTGAGATGATATTTGAGGTGATGTTTCAGGTGATGTTTCAGGTGATGTTTTAGGTGATGTTTGAGATGATGTTTCAGGTGATGTTTCAGGTGATGTTTTAGGTGATGTTTGAGATGATGTTTCAGGTGATGTTTCAGGTGATGTTTTACGTGATGTTTGAGGTAGTGTTTCAGGTGATGTTTCAGGTGATGTTTCAGGTGATGTTTTAAACGATGTTTTAAGTGATGTTTAAGGGGATTTTTAGGTGATGTTTTAGGTAATGTTCAGGTGATGTGTCAGGTGATGTTTGATGTGATGTTTCAGGTGATGTTTGAGATGATGTTTCAGGTGATGTTTAAGGTGATGTTTGATGTGATATTTCAGGTGATGTTTAAGGGGATGTTTCAGGTGATGGTTTAGGTGATGTCTGAGGTGATGTTTTAGGTGATGTTTGAGATGAGGACATGATGTTTATCTTCCTACCTTGAGCTTGAGGCTAAGAATAAAAATGAGGATAATCGAGGGCCAGGCAAACGCGATGATAAACAACATCAGTAGCAGGTAAGTCCTCGGCAGAATCACTACCTGCAACAGGCGAGTACAACAGTCAATGTGTCACTACCCGTCATCACATTCATCCATCTACCACATCCATCCATCCACCACATACAACCATCCACCACATACGAACATCCACCACATACAACCATCCACCACATGCAACCATCCACCACATACAACCATCCACCACATACAACCATCCACCACATACAACCATCCACCACATACAACCATCCACCACATACAACCATCCACCACATACAACCATCCACCACATACAACGATCCACCACATAGAACAGCCAAGAGTTACCTGTAGTGCCACCATCATGACCAGGATGACCAGACTACACACCAGACTGCAGCCAAACGTCAGATCTTCTGTTGCTTGGTACTGTGGATACAGGGGGGGGACAATCTCAGCCCATACAGGGAGACAATCATCTCACATAGCCCATACTGTGAGACAATCATCTCAGCCCATACAGGGAGACAATCATCTCAGCCCATACAGGGAGACAATCATCTCACATAGCCCATACTGTGAGACAATCATCTCACATAGCCCATACAGGGAGACAATCATCTTAGCCCATACAGGGAGACAATCATCTTAGCCCATACAGGGAGACAATCATCTCACATAGCCCATACAGGGAGACAATCATCTCAGCCCATACAGGGAGACAATCATCACACATAGCCCATACAGGGAGACAATCATCTTAGCCCATACAGGGAGACAATCATCACACATAGCCCATACAGGGAGACAATCATCTTAGCCCATACAGGGAGACAATCATCTCAGCCCATACAGGGAGACAATCATCTTAGCCCATACAGGGAGACAATCATCTCAGCCCATACAGGGAGACAATCATCACACATAGCCCATACAGGGAGACAATCATCTTAGCCCATACAGGGAGACAATCATCTTAGCCCATACAGGGAGACAATCATCTCAGCCCATACATTGAGACAATCATCTTAGCCCATACAGGGAGACAATCATCTCACATAGCCCATACTGTGAGACAATCATCTCAGCCCATACAGGGAGACAATCATCTCAGCCCATACAGGGAGACAATCATCTCACATAGCCCATACAGGGAGACAATCATCTCAGCCCATACAGGGAGACAATCATCTCAGCCCATACAGGGAGACAATCATCTCACATAGCCCATACAGGGAGACAATCATCTCAGCCCATACAGGGAGACAATCATCTCACATAGCCCATACAGGGAGACAATCATCTCAGCCCATACAGGGAGACAATCATCTCAGCCCATACAGGGAGACAATCATCTCAGCCCATACAGGGAGACAATCATCTCACATAGCCCATACAGGGAGACAATCATCTCACATAGCCCATACAGGGAGACAATCATCTCACATAGCCCATACAGGGAGACAATCATCACACATAGCCCATACAGGGAGACAATCATCTCACATAGCCCATACAGGGAGACAATCATCTCACATAGCCCATACAGGGAGACAATCATCTCACATAGCCCATACAGGGAGACAATCATCTTAGCCCATACAGGGAGACAATCATCACACATAGCCCATACAGGGAGACAATCATCTCAGCCCATACAGGGAGACAATCATCTTAGCTGTATGTATAACATCTCCATCCCACGAGATCTGCACCGATGACCTCTAACCTCCCCTGTGACCTCTAACCTCCCCTGTGACCTCTAACCTTCCCTCCCCTGTAACCTCTAACCTTCCCTGTGACCTCTAACCTTCCCTGTGACCTCTAACCTTCCCTGTGACCTCTAACCTCCCCTGTGACCTCTAACCTCCCCTGTGACCTCTAACCTTCCCTGTGACCTACCCCGTGCTCCTTGTCCGGGCTAGTGAAGGCCAAGGTCAGAAAGTGGATGTTGTTGGACTTTTCACGCTCGATGCTCCGGGCTGTCAGGGCCTGCGACAGGTATTTGTTGACCCTGTCAGCAGGTAACTCGGCCAGCTCCTGCCTGCTCACAGTCAGAGGACATTTAGACAGGATATTTAGACAGGACATTTAGACAGGACATTTAGACAGGACATTTAGACAGGACATTTAGACAGGACATTTAGACAGGACATTTAGACAGGACATTTAGACAGGACATTTAGACAGGACATTTAGACAGGACATTTAGACAGGACATTTAGACAGGATATTTAGACAGGACATTTAGACAGGACATTTAGACAGGACATTTAGAAAGGACATTTAGAAAGGACATTTAGAAAGGACATTTAGACAGGACATTTAGACAGGACATTTAGACAGGACATTTAGACAGGACATTTAGACAGGACATTTAGACAGGACATTTAGACAGGACATTTAGACAGGACATTTAGAAAGGACATTTAGACAGGACATTTAGACAGGACATTTAGACAGGACATTTAGACAGGACATTTAGACAGGACATTCAGATTACATATATATATATATATGTATGTATATATATATATATATATATATATATATATATATATATATATATATATATATATATGTATATATGTATGTATATATATATATATATATGTGTGTGTGTATATATATGTATATATGTATATATGTATGTATATATATATATATATGTGTGTATATATATATATATATATATATATATATACATATATATATATATATATATATATATATATATATATATATATATATATATATATATATATCTATAATATAAGCGGGCTGTGTCTGTCCTTCCGTCCGTCATCGCTATAGATTTTGAAACCATAAAACTAAGTAAACATAGCACCATGCTGTGCGTTTCAGTGCACCGCAGTGTCTTATTATAAGTAATAGAGTAGGGTTTGTTTATATAACGGCATAGAGCTATTTTATAATTTCCACTGTTTGTACAATTTTGCATAACGTAAAGAGAATATTAAATACACGCACATTGCTAAAACATATTAAAAGGATCAATGTCAAATATCGTTTTCGTTAATATTCCCAGAAAAAGTGGATATATATTAATAACATAATAACAGTACGGTAGAAAAATCTAATTAAACTGCTTAGTAATTTTGCCAATGGAGGTAATTCAAAGATAAATTGAACTCACGCTAAAAATGTGAATGCAAAATCTGCAAGACGGAATAATTGTTGGAATAATATAATTAGCAAAATGTGAATGCAAATTATGCAGACGTGTAAGAGTACATTATTGTTGGAATATTATTATTAGCATTGATTGATAAAAGGCTATCTTTTATTTATTTTATTCACAGAATGTGCTGTTTACTAATTATAATTTTTAATCAACTATTCTCCATTACTATATTAAGTCATCACGTTCATTAGGTGCGCAATGGTTTTAGTCATGAAACTTTATTGTAAATTTTTAAAAGTACTGAAAAAAATTCATGAATTTATAAAGTGCAATATGGTCGGTAAAACACGGATATTCTAAATACTGCCTTTAATTTATTTGCGGAAAAGCTAGGGGTTTTATAACAGAGGCGTAGCAAGAGGGGGGGGGAGGGTGGAAATCGAAAGTTTGAGGGAGGTGGGAGGGTGTAAATCGAAATTTTCCGCCGGCGCTCGGAAAGGGCGCGATTTGGCGCTACGGGATAGACTGTGAGCAATATGCCTTTATGATTACATTTAAATTGAGTTTATGTTGAGTGTTGTGTTTGTTTTTTCGTTTTTGTTTTTGCTTTGCGTTCGTTTGTGTTGTATTTAGTTTTGTTCTGTTCCCAACTTAGTACATTTAAAAAAAGATTTACCGTGTGTTGTGGTTGTGTTGTGGTTGTGGTTGTGTTGTGGTTGTTTTGTGGTTGTGTTGTGGTTGTGGTTGTGTTGTGGTTGTGTTGTGATTGTGTTGTGGTTGTAATGTGGTTGTGTTGTGTTTGTGTTGTGTTTTTGTTTGTTTTGTTCTGTTCCAAAGTTGGTATATTTTAAAAAGATTTACCGTGGCGAAGCACGGGATGCAGCTAGTATATATATATATATATATATATATATAAATATATATATGTGTATATATATATATATATATATATATATATATATATATATATATATATATATATATATATATATATATATAATATAAGCGGGCTGAGCGTGTGTCAGTCCTTCCTTCCTTCCTTCCTTCCTTCCTTCTGTCATCGCTATAGCTTTTGGGACTATAAAAGTAAACATTCGCACCATGCTGTGCTTTTCAGTGCACCGCAGTGTCTTATTATAAGTAATAGAGTAGGGTTTGTTTATATAACGACACAGAGCTATTTTATAATTGCCACTGTGTTTACTCTTTTGCATAACTTAAAGAAAATATTAAATACACGCACATTGCTAAAACATATTAAAAGGATCAATGTCAAATATCATTTTCGTTTATATTCCTAGAAAAAGTGGATACATTTTTATAACATAATAACAGTACGGTAGAAAAATCAAATTAATTTAACTCTTTTCTAATTTTGACAAAGGAGGTAATTTAAAAATACATTAAACTCACGCTAATAAAAAATGTGAATGCAAATATACGTTCGTCATAGAAGGAATTAGTGTTGCAATAATATAATTAGCAAAATGTGAATGCAAATTATTCGGATGTGTAAGAGGAAATTATTGTTAGAAAATTATAATTAGCATGGATTGATAAAAGGCAATCTTTTATTTATTTTATTCACTGAATGTAGGCCCTACTGTTTATTACTTATAATTTTTAATCAACTATTCAGCACTATTATAGGCGCGTCATCACGTTCATTAGGTGCGCAATGGTTTTAGTTATGAAACTCAATTGTAAATTTTTAAAATTTAAAGTACTGGAAAAAAGATGCGTGAATGGATACAGTGAAATATTGTAGGTAAAACAGTATAAATAATAGGCAGTATTTAAAATATCCCTTAGGGGGCGCCAAAGTGGGTTGGAAAAAATTTACGAGGGGGGGGGGTGGAAATCGAAAGTTTTAGGGCGGGGGGGGGGGGGGGGGGGAAAGGGGTGCAAATCGAAAGTTTGAGGGGGGTGCAAATCACTGGAAAGGGCGCGATTTGGCGCTACGGGCTAGACTGTGAGCAATATGCCTTTATGATTGCATTTAAATTGTGTTTATGTTATGAGTGTTGTGTTTGTTTTTTCGTTTTTTTTTTTTTTTTGCGTTCGTTTATGTTGTGTTTAGTTTTGTTCTGTTCCCAAGTTGGTACATTTAAAAAAGATTTACCGTGGCGGAGCACGGGATGCAGCTAGTATATCTATAATATAAGCGGGCAAGTAGTGTGTCAGTCCTTCCTTCCTTCCTTCCGTCATCGCTATAGATTTTGGAACCATAAAAGTAAACATTCGCACCATGCTGTGCTTTTCAGTGCACCGCAGTGTCTTATTATAAGTATTAGAGTAGGGTTTGTTTATATAGCGGCATAGAGCTATTTTATAATTGCCACGGTTTTTACTCTTTCGCATAACGTCAAGAAAATATTAAATACACGCAAACTGCTAAAACGTATTGAAAAGATTAATGTCAAATATCATTTTCGTTTAGGTTCCCAGAAAAAGTGGATACATTTTAATAAGATAATAACAGTACGGTAGAAAAATCAAATTAATTTAACTCTTTTCTAATTTTGACAACGGAGGTAATTTAAAAATACATTAAACTCACGCTAATAAAAAATGTAAATGCAAATATTCGTTCGTCATAGAAGGAATTAGTGTTGCAATAATATAATTAGCAAAATGTGAATGCAAATTATTCGGATGTGTAAGATGAAATTATTGTTAGAAAATTATAATTAGCATGGATTGATAAAAGGCAATCTTTTATTTATTTTATTCACTGAATGTAGGCCCTACTGTTTATTACTTATAATTTTTAATCAACTATTCAGCTCTATTATAGACGCGTCATCACGCACATTAGGTGCGCAATGGTTTTAGTTATTAAACTCTATTGTAAATTTTTAAAATTTAAAGTACTGGAAAAAAATGCGTGAATCGATAAAGTGAAATATTGTAGGTAAAACACGGATATTTTAAATACTGCCTATTATTTATACTGTTTTCTAATTATTATTCTATCTTTCGGGTTTTATAGGAGAGGCGTAGCGAGGGGGGGCATATGTCCCCGGGTGCCGACCTTAGGGGGCGCCAAAGTGCATTGGAAAAAATTTGCGGGGGGGGGGGGGTGGAAATCGAAAGTTTTAGGGCGGGGGGGGGGGGGAAGGGGTGCAAATCGAAAGTTTGAGTTGGGTGCAAATCACCGGAAAGGGCGCGATTTGGCGCTACGGGCTAGACTGTGAGCAATATGCCTTTATGATTGCATTTAAATTGTGTTTATGTTATGAGTGTTGTGTTTGTTTTTTCGTTGTTTTTTTTTTTTTTTGCGTTCGTTTGTGTTGTGTTTAGTTTTGTTCTGTTCCCAAGTTGGTACATTTAAAAAAGATTTACCGTGGCGGAGCACGGGATGCAGCTAGTATATATATATATATATATATATATATATATATATATATATATATATATATATATATATATATATATATACATACATGACACAGCAGCACATGACAGAAGACAGCACTGACCTGTTTCTTAGTGCTTTGTTTGGTTTGTCTGACGTCACACCCTAAATAGATGAGAGCCATCATTTAGACATAATTTAGACATAATTTAGACATAATTTAGACATAATTTAGACTTCATTTAGACATCATTTAGACATCATTTAGACATCATTTAGACAGACATCATTTAGACAGACAGCATGTAGACAGACATAGTCCTGTCTGACACTTACATAGTCCTGTCTGACACTTACATAGTCCTGTCTGACACTTACATAGTCCTGTCTGACACTTACATAGTCCTGTCTGACACTTACATAGTCCTGTCTGACACTTACATAGTCCTGTCTGACACTTACATAGTCCTGTCTGACACTTACATAGTCCTGTCTGACACTTACATAGTCCTGTCTGACACTTACATAGTCCTGTCTGACACTTACATAGTCCTGTACGACACTTACATAGTCCTGTCTGACACTTACATAGTCCTGTCTGACACTTACATAGTCCTGTACGACACTTACATAGTCCTGTCTGACACTTACATAGTCCTGTCTGACACTTACATAGTCCTGTACGACACTTACATAGTCCTGTCTGACACTTACATAGTCCTGTCTGACACTTACATAGTCCTGTCTGACACTTACTTAGTCCTGTCTGACACTTACTTAGTCCTGTCTGACACTTACATAGTCCTGTACGACACTTACATAGTCCTGTCTGACACTTACATAGTCCTGTACGACACTTACATAGTCCTGTCTGACACTTACATAGTCCTGTCTGACACTTACTTAGTCCTGTCTGACACTTACTTAGTCCTGTCTGACACTTACTTAGTCCTGTCTGACACTTACATAGTCCTGCACTTGGATTGACACGCCATCTTGTGTGTCATCTGACATCTGAACATTGGAAAAAAAATTTAAAGTTTAACAAAAAAGTTTAATTGATGTTCCCAATACTTTTCTTTATAAAAGCTGCAACAATTTCTTGTCATTTCTTCAGTATCACAACGCTTTCAACAACACGCTTGTATCAATGCACTAATAAAATGGGAGAGATCTCCCCAACCAGGCTCAGACTCCCCCCCCCCCTCCGGAAAAACGAATTAGAATTTATATATAAAATACATACTTATGCCAGTATCCTACCCCGCCGAAAATAGGGTGTAATAGGGTGAGAGTGGTCTAATTATAAGATCTTATACTTATTCATTAATTATAAGATCTTATACTTATTCATTAATTATAAGATCTTATACTTATTCATTAAGTTTCCTCGACTTCACCGAAATGGTGAACGGAAAAAAAGTCACAGGAAAAAAAAACAGAAAAAAAGTCACAGTTTTTGCTAGGAAAAAAAGTCACAGAAAAAAAGTCACAGTGAAAAAATTTTATCGGAAAAAAAGTCACAGAAAAAAGTCACAAAAATCTTTTTAGAAATATTTTTATTAATTTGTTAAGAATTGTAAAATTTTGTATGTTTATTGTTGTAGGTTGTATTTTTTGATAGCATAAATTATTTATAGACGTTAAAAGCATTATGATTTATAACAATTGTAAGTAAAAGTACTCTAAGATAATTAACACAACAATCTCAACTTTTGTTACGTATTTAGTTAAATACGCGGTAGAAAAGTTAACTATAAAAGAAATTTAGGCACATTTTGCCGTAGGCTATTCTCTGGTCGTCCTCTCCTCAGTAGGCATTGTCCGAACATATTTAGTGTTGTTGACGTTATGCGTCAATGACAGCCTTTGAACCTTGTCGGCTTTCTGTTTTGATCCTAAGTTTTCTCATGTAATTAGCGTGATAAATGTGGGCAGTAAAGGTGGTTGAACTAAACATAACTATTTTTGCCATGAGTTGAGGGCAGCAAGTCAGATAAACTTACCATTTCACTGTAATTTAATATTGGTGTTTAAAAAAACATGATGAAAAACGTGGACTTTTATTCTATTTATTATATGCTACTAATCTTAAGTTTAAAATAATTACAATCTACATACTTCATAATAAATTTTTTAGATGAATTATAAAAATTCCTATGCGTATACAGCCTACACACATTACATTATATTTAATTAATCCTAAGTTAATTTACATTCTCTAAATATTTAATACATGCAAGTATTAGGCCTAACAAATATCATGCAAATATATATTTGTGACTTTTTTTCCTGTGACTTTTTTCTGTGACTTTTTTTCCTGTGACTTTTTTTCTGTGGTTTTTTTTTCCTGTGTTTTTTTTCCTGTGACTTTTTTTCCTACAATCCACTGAAACTACTATCCTGCTCTAAAGAACTAAAACAGCACTCCCCTAAGTCGTGTATTGTTATATATTTCAAGGCATTTTTAAGGTGTCGTCCATAATTGACGTCACAAACGAAGGGGGGGGGGGGGGGGTTCAGATAGTGTGACGTCACGCTTTTGCATTTTAAAAAAAGCAATGTAAGAAAACGAGTTTTAGATGTTATTTCGCGTTTTAGAAAACTGTTTTAATAAATTGTACTTGGAATTGATTAAAATACTCTATGTTCACAGAGCTCAGACAAGATTTTGGAAAAATATCGATGTTTTAAGAAAAATTCAACTGCAATTTTGTGGGGGGGGGGGGGGGGGGGTCCTGGCTTTTTGTGTGTCGGGCGTGACGTCATTTATGGATGACCCCTAAACTCAACTTGTGATCATTGCAAAGTTCATGTTGTATTACATTGTGATAAGTTGATGGACTGACAGACAGATGTAGTTTAGCAAGAGGGAGCTATCAATTCGTAAAAAAAATGTGGATATTTTAGTAGCAAAATATGGTCAAATCCATTTCTTTTTACAATATATATTTTGTATGTACGTTTACATAATCTTTTTACAATATATATTTTGTATGTACGTTTACATAATCTTTTTACAATATATATTTTGTATGTACGTTTACATAATCTTTTTACAATATATATTTTGTATGTACGTTTACATAATCTTTTTACAATATATATTTTGTATGTACGTTTACATAATCTTTTTACAATATATATTTTGTATGTACGTTTACATAATCTTTTTACAATATATATTTTGTATGTACGTTTACATAATCTTTTTACAATATATATTTTGTATGTACGTTTACATAATCTTTTTACAATATATATTTTGTATGTACGTTTACATAATCTTTTTACAATATATATTTTGTATGTACGTTTACATAATCTTTTTACAATATATATTTTGTATGTACGTTTACATAATCTTTTTTACAATATATATTTTGTATGTACGTTTACATAATCTTTTTTACAATATATATTTTGTATGTACGTTTACATAATCTTTTTTACAATATATATTTTGTTTGTACGTTTACATAATCTTTATATTTTAAAATGTAGAAATGCATGAAATGTAAGAAGAAAAAAACATTCCATTAGGCTACACTTACCATTGTTCTGTTGAGCTTCTGGTTCTGGTGGGGCATGGTGTCACGTGATTGTGACGTAGACAGCACGTCGGAGAAGGGGATCTCGGCGTTAAACTTGACCGACTGCATCAGCCGGATGACGCAGTTGGTCACGCCCTTGAAGGAGAGCTTGTGGGGCCGCATGCCCGTCCACTCGCGCTGTAGCAGGACTGCGTGCTGCTGCAGAACAGCAAACAGCTTTAATATTGGCCCAGCACATTTGGACAGCTCAAATATTGGCCCAGCACATTTGGACAGCTCAAATATTGGCCCAGCACATTTGGACAGCTCAAATATTGGCCCTACATATTTGGACAGCTCAAATATTGGCCCAGCACATTTGGACAGCTCAAATATTGGCCCTACATATTTGGACAGCTCAAATATTGGCCCTACATATTTGGACAGCTCAAATATTGGCCCAGCACATTTGGACAGCTCAAATATTGGCCCTACATATTTGGACAGCTCAAATATTGGCCCAGCACATTTGGACAGCTCAAATATTGGCCCTACAAATTTAGACAGCTCAAATATTGGCCCTACATATTTGGACAGCTCAAATATTGGCCCAACACATTTGGACAGCTCACATATTGGCCCAGCACATTTGGACAGCTCAAATATTGGCCCTACATATTTGGACAGCTCAAATATTGGCCCAGCACATTTGGACAGCTCAAATATTGGCCCTACAAATTTGGACAGCTCAAATATTGGCCCTACATATTTGGACAGCTCAAATATTGGCCCAATAAATTTTGCAAGAACGTAACACAGTCTACAAAGCTATCAATCCATTCAGCTTTATAAATAAAATTGGATATAAATCCACATTTTACAAATAAATCAAAAAGTTATTAGCCTAAAAATACATCTGCAACATATCAATCCAATGACTGAATTCAGCATACAGCAAGTGACTGAATTCAGCATACAGCAAGTGACTGTTTACAATAGGTTTATCGATCAATGGAGATAAGTGAAACATTGCTTTGTCGGTAAAAAATTTAAGGAGTTAAGTCCCTTTTCCGTAAGAATTGTTCAGTTCTATAGAATATATTAAATGGGGTATGTATTCAACATAAGAATGGTGGAGTGTGTCAACAACAACATTAGAATGGTGGAGTGTGTCAAAAACAACATTAGAATGGTGGAGTGTGTCAATAACAACATTAGAATGGTGGATTGTGTCAACAACAACAACATTAGAATGGTGGAGTGTGTCAACAACAACATTAGAATGGTGGAGTGTGTCAACAACAACAACATTAGAATGGTGGAGTGTGTCAACAACAACATTAGAATGGTGGCGTGTGTCAACAACAACATTAGAATGGTGGAGTGTGTCAATAACAACATTAGAATGGTGGAGTGTGTCAACAACAACATTAGAATGGTGGAGTGTGTCAACAACAACAACATTAGAATGGTGGAGTGTGTCAATAACAACATTAGAATGGTGGAGTGTGTCAATAACAACAACATTAGAATGGTGGATTGTGTCAACAACAACATTCGAATGGTGGAGTGTGTCAACAACAACATTAGAATGGTGGAGTGTGTCAACAACAACATTAGAATGGTGGAGTGTGTCAACAACAACATTAGAATGGTGGAGTGTATCAATAACAACAACATTAGAATGCTGGAGTGTGTCAACAACAACATTAGAATGGTGGAGTGTGTCAACAACAACAACATTAGAATGGTGGAGTGTGTCAATAACAACAACAACATTAGAATGGTGGAGTGTGTCAATAACAACAACAACATTAGAATGGTGGAGTGTGTCAACAACAACATTAGAATGGTGGAGTGTGTCAACAACAACATTAGAATGGTGGAGTGTGTCAACAACAACAACATTAGAATGCTGGAGTGTGTCAACAACAACATTAGAATGGTGGAGTGTGTCAACAACAACAACATTAGAATGGTGGAGTGTGTCAATAACAACAACAACATTACAATGGTGGAGTGTGTCAACAACAACATTAGAATGGTGGAGTGTGTCAACAACAACATTAGAATGGTGGAGTGTGTCAACAACAACATTAGAATGGTGGAGTGTGTCAACAACAGCAACATTAGAATGGTGGAGTGTATCAACAACAACATTAGAATGGTGGAGTGTGTCAATAACAACATTAGAATGGTGGAGTGTGTCAACAACAACATTACAATGGTAGAGTGTGTCAACAACAACATTAGAATGGTGGAGTGTGTCAACAACAACAACATTAGAATGGTGGAGTGTGTCAACAACAACTACATTAGAATGGTTGAGTGTGTCAACAACAACAACATTAGAATGGTGGAGTGTGTCAACAACAACATTAGAATGGTGGAGTGTGTCAATAACAACAACATTAGAATGGTGGAGTGTGTCAATAACAACAACATTAGAATGGTGGAGTGTGTCAATAACAACATTAGAATGGTGGAGTGTGTCAACAACAACAACATTAGAATGGTGGATTGTGTCAATAACAACATTAGAATGGTGGAGTGTGTCAATAACAACATTAGAATGGTGGAGTGTGTCAACAACAACAACATTAGAATGCTGGAGTGTGTCAATAACAACATTAGAATGGTGGAGTGTGTCAATAACAACATTAGAATGGTGGAGTGTGTCAATAACAACAACATTAGAATGGTGGAGTGTGTCAATAACAACATTAGAATGGTGGAGTGTGTCAACAACAACATTAGAATGGTGGAGTGTGTCAACAACAACATTAGAATGGTGGGGTGTATCAATAACAACAACATTAGAATGCTGGAGTGTGTCAACAACAACATTAGAATGGTGGAGTGTGTCAACAACAACAACATTAGAATGGTGGAGTGTGTCAATAACAACAACAACATTAGAATGGTGGAGTGTGTCAACAACAACATTAGAATGGTGGAGTGTGTCAACAACAACATTAGAATGGTGGAGTGTGTCAACAACAACATTAGAATGGTGGAGTGTGTCAACAACAACAACATTAGAATGGTGGAGTGTGTCAATAACAACATTAGAATGGTGGAGTGTGTCAATAACAACAACATTAGAATGGTGGAGTGTGTCAATAACAACATTAGAATGGTGGAGTGTGTCAATAACAACAACAACATTAGAATGGTGGAGTGTGTCAACAACAACATTAGAATGGTGGAGTGTGTCAACAACAACATTAGAATGGTGGAGTGTATCAACAACAACATTAGAATGGTGGAGTGTGTCAACAACAACAACATTAGAATGGTGGAGTGTGTCAATAACAACATTAGAATGGTGGAGTGTGTCAATAACAACAACATTAGAATGGTGGAGTGTGTCAATAACAACATTAGAATGGTGGAGTGTGTCAACAACAACATTAGAATGGTGGAGTGTGTCAACAACAACATTAGAATGGTGGAGTGTGTCAACAACAACAACATTAGAATGGTGGAGTGTGTCAATAACAACATTAGAATGGTGGAGTGTGTCAATAACAACATTAGAATGGTGGAGTGTGTCAACAACAACATTAGAATGGTGGAGTGTGTCAATAACAACATTAGAATGGTGGAGTGTGTCAATAACAACATTAGAATGGTGGAGTGTGTCAATAACAACATTAGAATGGTGGAGTGTGTCAACAACAACATTAGAATGGTGGAGTGTGTCAACAACAACAACATTAGAATGGTGGAGTGTGTCAATAACAACATTAGAATGGTGGAGTGTGTCAACAACAACATTAGAATGGTGGAGTGTGTCAACAACAACATTAGAATGGTGGAGTGTGTCAACAACAACAACATTAGAATGGTGGAGTGTGTCAACAACAACAACATTAGAATGGTGGAGTGTATCAACAACATGATTAATGTGTCAACAACTGATTCTTACACTCACTTCACTCCAGATAATTCTCTAGAAAATAAAATGGATTAGAAATAAATCTCTCAGCAGACAGAAAATTGTCGACAGACTTAAATTAAAAGAGAAAAAAAACAAAGACATTGACATGAGACATTGACATCAGACCGTGAGACAGCAGACACGTAACTGACCTTGCGGGGGTGTTTGGTCTTGATGAAGAAGGTCTCGACCCCCAGCTGTTGCAGGTAGGCGTCTCTCTGGCCACCATTGCCCGGCTCCACCTCGTACTGGCCATGCAGCTGCTCCAGGGTGGCCCTCGTGATGTGTACGCGCCTGGTGGGGGAAAGATCTTTCTAGCTGGCTAGATCTTTCTAGTTGGCTAGATCTTGCTACATCTTTCTAGCTGACTAGATCTTTCTAGCTGGCTAGATCTTTCTAGCTGGCTACATCTTTCTAGTTGGCTACATCTTTCTAGCTGACTAGATCTTTCTAGCTGGCTATATCTTTCTAGCTGGCTATATCTTTCTAGCTGGCTAGATCTTTCTAGCTGGCTAGATCTTTCTAGCTGGCTAGATCTTTCTAGCTGGCTAGATCTTGCTACATCTTTCTAGCTGACTAGATCTTTCTAGCTGGCTAGATCTTTCTAGCTGGCTAGATCTTTCTAGCTGGCTAGATCTTTCTAGCTGGCTAGATCTTTCTAGCTGGCTACATCTTTCTAGCTGGCTAGATCTTTCTAGCTGGCTAGATCTTGCTACATCTTTCTAGCTGGCTAGATCTTTCTAGCTGGCTACATCTTTCTAGCTGGCTAGATCTTTCTAGCTGGCTAGATCTTTCTAGCTGGCTAGATCTTTCTAGCTGGCTAGATCTTTCTAGCTGGCTACATCTTTCTAGCTGGCTACATCTTTGTAGATTTAAAGATCTTGCCAGAGTTTCTTCCAGGCATCTCTTTTAAGAGCCCCCCCCCCCCCACCCCGGAGAAAAAAAGTCTGGAAGAAACACTGCAGGCTAGATCTTTAAAGCTTAATACACCGGGCAAGAGCTTACATAATGTATACAACATTATAGAGCGCTCAACACTTTAGCAACATATCTAAAGAAGAGCTACACGATCAAATAGGAACAAGAGCTAAATATAGAAATGTGCAACTCACCCTGGGATGCCGCCAGACTCCATGTGATTGGCCAGTTTGACGTCATTGCTGAAGACGTCATACTGCCACTTCTTGAGGCCGAGGACCCCGCACAGGACGCGGCCCGTGTGTAGCCCCACTCGCATGTTCAGCTTGACGCCCGTCTGGTCGCACACGCTCCTGGAGATAGGGCTACACTAGACTAAAGGCTACAGGCTACACTAGACTAAAGGCTACAGGCTACACTAGACTAAAGGCTACAGGCTACAGGCTACACTAGACTAAAGGCTACAGGCTACACTAGACTAAAGGCTACAGGCTACACTAGACTAAAGGCTATAGACTACACTAGACTAAAGGCTACACTAGACTAAAGGCTACGCCTCTGCAAAGTATAGAGAAAGTATTGTAATCGTGAAAAAAAATCGAGATTTTTTTTCAAATCTCGACGTTTTACACCTCCCTGAGTTTTGCAATCTTGTCCATATGTCTGTGTGTGTGTATGTCTGTGTGTGTATGTGTGTGTGTGTGTGTCTGTAAACACGATATTTTGAGTACCGTTACAGCTAGTTGATGAAACTGCATATATAAGTATTAGATCAAATGTGTAAATCCGTATCAACTTATCAGCGATTTCCGATAACCGGAAGTGGAACTTTTCTACTTTCATTTTTTTCAAAAGCCTATAACTTGAGTAATATTTCATTTAGATCAAGGGAATTTCACATCTAAGTAAAAGATCTAATCGTCTGCATTCTGACTAATTTTGATTAACTTCCATTGACGGGAAGTAGCTAAATCCGATTTCTCAAAAAACGCATGTGAATTTATAAAGTACTAATAATATTCCGCACTATTATACACATTTTATTTGCGTTCACTTGGTGTGTAATTCTTTTTCTACGAGATTCTATTCTATTTTAAAAAGTTTAAGTAATTAAAAATGGATTTAAAATATTGTCTATTATCCCGAGTTGCCTTCCCCTTAGTGTTATATATTCGAGAAAGTTGAGGGGTTTATTTCTGTAAGTTTTCTTTCTATAACCAGGTTCAAGTGTGTGTAATGACGTAGTGTATGTATGTGTGTGTAATAATGTAGTGTGTATATGTGTGTGTAATGATGTAATGTGTTTGTGTATGTGTGTAATAATGTAGTGTGTATATGTGTGTGTAATGATGTAGTGTGGCTATATGTGTGTGTAATAATGTAGTGTGTATATGTGTGTGTAATGATGTGGTGTGTATATGTGTGTGTAATGATGTAGTGTGTTTATGTGTGTGTACGTGAAATATCCTGCCGTGTGTACTTAGCATTTACTTAGGTCAAGGTCAACTGTTTAGTTATACGGGACTGGTTCGACCCCCCCCCCCCCACCCCCCACCCAACAACTTCGATATTAATTGGCCTTGTCAAAATTTGCTTAAAGCGAGACACCAATGGTTTACATGACGTCAGCGATGACGTCACATGGGCGGTGAAATACAGCCTGACTAATGAATCTCTTTGACCTTTGCCCTTGTGTCTTCTGCCCTTTTGTCACTCGGATCCATCCAATCCATAGGTGGTGGTATTTAAGGTGATGTTTGGGGATGTGTGTTGGTGGTATTTAAGGTGATGTTTGGGGATGTGTGTTGGTGGTATTTAAGGTGATGTTTGGGGATGTGTGGTGGTGGTATTTAAGGGGATGTTTGGGGATGTGTGTTGGTGGTATTTAAGGTGATGTTTGGGGATGTGTGTTGGTGGTATTTAAGGTGATGTTTGGGGATGTGTGTTGGTGGTATTTAAGGTGATGTTTGGGGATGTGTGTTGGTGGTATTTAAGGTGATGTTTGGGGATGTGTGTTGGTGGTATTTAAGGTGATGTTTGGGGATGTGTGTTGGTGGTATTTAAGGTGATGTTTGGGGATGTGTGTTGGTGATATTTAAGGTGATGTTTGGGGATGTGTGTTGGTGGTATTTAAGGTGATGTTTGGGGATGTGTGTTGGTGGTATTTAAGGTGATGTTTGGGGATGTATGGTGGTGGTATTTAAGGTGATGTTTGGGGATGTGTGTTGGTGGTATTTAAGGTGATGTTTGGGGATGTGTGGTGGTGATATTTAAGGTGATGTTTGGGGATGTGTGTTGGTGGTATTTAAGGTGATGTTTGGGGATGTGTGTTGGTGGTATTTAAGGTGATGTTTGGGGATGTGTGTTGGTGGTATTTAAGGTGATGTTTGGGGATGTGTGTTGGTGGTATTTAAGGTGATGTTTGGGGATGTGTGTTGGTGATATTTAAGGTGATGTTTGGGGATGTGTGTTGGTGGTATTTAAGGTGATGTTTGGGGATGTGTGTTGGTGGTATTTAAGGTGATGTTTGGGGATGTATGGTGGTGGTATTTAAGGTGATGTTTGGGGATGTGTGTTGGTGGTATTTAAGGTGATGTTTGGGGATGTGTGGTGGTGATATTTAAGGTGATGTTTGGGGATGTGTGTTGGTGGTATTTAAGGTGATGTTTGGGGATGTGTGTTGGTGGTATTTAAGGTGATGTTTGGGGATGTGTGTTGGTGTGTGTTGATGATTGTGCTATCGGTGCTTGAAACTCGACACAGTCGATCAGTGTTTCTTCCAGACTTTATTCTACGGGGGGGGGGGGGGGGGGGGAGCACTTGAAAATTTTCGGGGGGGAAGGACTAAAATTTCCGGGGGAGGGGGGAAGGACACTGGTAAAAGTATATATTTCCTATATAAATTCTATTTCCTCGAGGGGCCGATAGACCCGCCTGTTAGACCCGCCTGATAGACCCGCCTGGAAGACCCGCCTGATAGACCCGTCTGAAAGAAACCCTGCAGCTGATGTGTGTGGACTCACGCGATGGCGTCGATCATGTCCAGGCCCATCTCCACACAGCAGGCCGCATGGTTAGCCCGGGCCTCGGGCAGGCCGCTGACGCAGTAGTAGCAGTCCCCCAGGATCTTGATCCGCATGCAGTTGTTTTGCTGGCGGGATGGGGGGGGGGGGGTTAGATAGTACGGGTTAGTTCATTGTAGTTCGTGTTTATTTTAGAACTGATCTGAATGAGCAGCGTTCAAAACTTTGTGTGTAACATCTCAGTCCAAAAATCAACATCTATACAAATCAGAGCGTTGACTGCCTAAATCAACGTCCTCCACACTCAAACCCAATCCATAGACCCAACTTTACATCCAAACCCAATCCATAGACCCAACCTTACATCCAAACCCAATCCATAGACCCAACCTTACATCCAAACCCAATCCATAGACCCAACCTTACATTCAAACCCAATCCATAGACCCAACCTTACATCCAAACCCAATCCATAGACCCAACCTTACATCCAAACCCAATCCATAGACCCAACCTTACATCCAAACCCAATCCATAGACCCAACCTTACATCCAAACCCAATCCATAGACCCAACCTTACATCCAAACCCAATCCATAGACCCAACTTTACATCCAAACCCAATCCATAGACCCAACCTTACATCCAAACCCAATCCATAGACCCAACCTTACATCCAAACCCAATCCATAGACCCAACCTTACATCCAAACCCAATCCATAGACCCAACCTTACATCCAAACCCAATCCATAGACCCAACCTTACATCCAAACCCAATCCATAGACCCAACCTTACATCCAAACCCAATCCATAGACCCAACCTTACATCCAAACCCAATCCATAGACCCAACCTTACATCCAAACCCAATCCATAGACCCAACCTTACATCCAAACCCAATCCATAGACCCAACCTTACATCCAAACCCAATCCATAGACCCAACCTTACATCCAAACCCAATCCATAGACCCAACCTTACATCCAAACCCAATCCATAGACCCAACCTTACATCCAAACCCAATCCATAGACCCAACCTTACATCCAAACCCAATCCATAGACCCAACCTTACATCCAAACCCAATCCATAGACCCAACCTTACATCCAAACCCAATCCATAGACCCAACCTTACATACAAACCCAATCCATAGACCCAACATTACATCCAAACCCAATCCATAGACCCAACCTTACATCCAAACCCAATCCATAGACCCAACCTTACATTCAAACCCAATCCATAGACCCAACCTTACATCCAAACCCAATCCATAGACCCAACCTTACATCCAAACCCAATCCATAGACCCAACCTTACATCCAAACCCAATCCATAGACCCAACCTTACATCCAAACCCAATCCATAGACCCAACCTTACATCCAAACCCAATCCATAGACCCAACCTTACATCCAAACCCAATCCATAGACCCAACCTTACATCCAAACCCAATCCATAGACCCAACCTTACATCCAAACCCAATCCATAGACCCAACCTTACATCCAAACCCGTACACCTATAATTTCAAATACAATCCCCACATACCCACCCCCACAAACCCACCCCCACATGCCCACCCCCACATACCCACTCCCACATACCCACCCCCACAATCCCACCCCACATACCCACCCCCACATACCCACCCACCACATACACACACAATCCCCACAATCCCACCCCACATACCCACCCCCACATACCCACCCACCACATACACACACAATCCCCACAATCCCACCCCACATACCCATTCCCAAATACCTACCCCACCCCCACATATCCACCCCCATTTATCCATCCCCACATTCACACACAACGCTAATATTACCCCCCATCCCCCACCCTCTTCAATAACTCAGGTTTTTCTCTGGATCTCTTAAGGGAAATAATTTGCATTCAGCATTCTCTCCCTTTGCTAACTACATTTTCTCCTTTTCTTGACTACTGCCTTGCGACCCGGTCATGATGGAGGACAGTACTACAGGTAGCACGTGATGGGGGACAGTACAACAGGTAGCACTTGATGGGGGACAGTACTACAGGTAGCACTTGATGGGGGACAATACTACAGGTAGCACTTGATGGGGGACAGTACTACAGGTAGCACTTGATGGGGGACAGTACTACAGGTAGCACTTGATGGGGGACAGTACTACAGGTAGCACTTGATGGGGGACAGTACTACAGGTAACACTTGATGGGGGAAAGTACTACAGGTAGCACTTGATGGGGGACAGTATCAGGTAGCACTTGATGGGGGACAGTACTACAGGTAGCACTAGATGGGGTACAGTACTACAGGTAGCACTTGATGGGGGACAGTACTACAGGTAGCACTTGATGGGGGACAGTACTACAGGTAGCACTTGATGGGGGACAGTACTACAGGTAGCACTTGATGGGGGACAGTACTACAGGTAGCACTTGATGGGGGACAGTACTACAGGTAGCACTTGATGGGGGACAGTACTACAGGTAGCACTTGATAGGGGACAGTACTACAGGTAGCACTTAATGGGGGACAGTATAGCACTTGATGGGGGACAGTACTACAGGTAGCACTTGATGGGGGACAGTATAGCACTTGATGGGGGACAGTACTACAGGTAGCACTTGATGGGGGACAGTACTACAGGTAGCACTTGATGGGGGACAGTACTACAGGTAGCACTTGATGGGGGACAGTATAGCACTTGATGGGGGACAGTATAGCACTTGATGGGGGAAAGTACTACAGGTAGCACTTGATGGGGGACAGTACTACAGGTAGCACTTGATGGGGGACAGTATCAGGTAGCACTTGATGGGGGAAAGTACTACAGGTAGCACTTGATGGGGGACAGTACTACAGGTAGCACTTGATGGGGGACAGTACTACAGGTAGCACTTGATGGGGGACAGTATAGCACTTGATGGGGGACAGTATAGCACTTGATGGGGGAAAGTACTACAGGTAGCACTTGATGGGGGACAGTACTACAGGTAGCACTTGATGGGGGACAGTATCAGGTAGCACTTGATGGGGGAAAGTACTACAGGTAGCACTAGATGGGGGACAGTACTACAGGTAGCACTTGATGGGGGACAGTACTACAGGTAGCACTTGATGGGGGACAGTACTACAGGTAGCACTTGATGGGGGAAAGTACTACAGGTAGCACGTGATGGGGGACAGTACAACAGGTAGCACTTGATGGGGGACAGTACTACAGGTAGCACTTGATGGGGGACAGTATAGCACTTGATGGGGGACAGTATAGCACTTGATGGGGGAAAGTACTACAGGTAGCACTTGATGGGGGACAGTACTACAGGTAGCACTTGATGGGGGACAGTATCAGGTAGCACTTGATGGGGGAAAGTACTACAGGTAGCACTTGATGGGGGACAGTATAGCACTTGATGGGGGACAGTACTACAGGTAGCACTTGATGGGGGACAGTACTACAGGTAGCACTAGACGGGGGACAGTACTACAGGTAGCACTTGATGGGGGACAGTATCAGGTAGCACTTGATGGGGGAAAGTACTACAGGTAGCACTAGATGGGGGACAGTACTACAGGTAGCACTTGATGGGGGACAGTACTACAGGTAGCACTTGATGGGGGACAACAATATAACACAAAAAAAACAGACAAAAAAAAAACAAACAGAAAAAAAAACAAATACAGGTAGCACTTGATGGGGGACAGTACTACAGGTAGCACTTGATGGGGGACAGTATAGCACTTGATGGGGGACAGTACTACAGGTAGCACTTGATGGGGGACAGTACTACAGGTAGCACTTGATGGGGGACAGGACTACAGGTAGCACGTGATGGGGGACAGTACAACAGGTAGCACTTGATGGGGGACAGTACTACAGGTAGCACGTGATGGGGGACAGTACAACAGGTAGCACTTGATGGGGGACAGTATCAGGTAGCACTTGATGGGGGAAAGTACTACAGGTAGCACGTGATGGGGGACAGTACTACAGGTAGCACGTGATGGGGGACAGTACAACAGGTAGCACTTGATGGGGGACAGTACTACAGGTAGCACTTGATGGGGGACAGTATAGCACTTGATGGGGGACAGTACTACAGGTAGCACTTGATGGGGGACAGTACTACAGGTAGCACTTGATGGGGGACAATACTACAGGTAGCACTTGATGGGGGACAGTATCAGGTAGCACTTGATGGGGGAAAGTACTACAGGTAGCACTTGATGGGGGACAGTACTACAGGTAGCACTTGATGTGGGACAGTATAGCACTTGATGGGGGACAGTACTACTGGTAGCACTTGATGGGGGACAGTACTACAGGTAGCACTTGATGGGGGACAGTACTACAGGTAGCACTTGATGGGGGACAGTACTACAGGTAGCACTTGATGTGGGACAGTATAGCATTTGATGGGGGACAGTACTACAGGTAGCACTTGATGGGGGACAGTACTACAGGTAGCACTTGATGGGGGACAGTACTACAGGTAGCACTTGATGGGGGACAGTACTACAGGTAGCACTTGATGGGGGACAGTACTACAGGTAGCACTTGATGGGGGACAGTATAGCACTTGATGGGGGACAGTACTACAGGTAGCACTTGATGGGGGACAGTACTACAGGTAGCACTTGATGGGGGACAGTATAGCACTTGATGGGGGACAGTACTACTGGTAGCACTTGATGGGGGACAGTACTACAGGTAGCACTTGATGGGGGACAGTACTACAGGTAGCACTTGATGGGGGACAGTACTACAGGTAGCACTTGATGTGGGACAGTATAGCATTTGATGGGGGACAGTACTACAGGTAGCACTTGATGGGGGACAGTACTACAGGTAGCACTTGATGGGGGACAGTACTACAGGTAGCACTTGATGGGGGACAGTACTACAGGTAGCACTTGATGGGGGACAGTACTACAGGTAGCACTTGATGGGGGACAGTATAGCACTTGATGGGGGACAGTACTACAGGTAGCACTTGATGGGGGACAGTACTACAGGTAGCACTTGATGGGGGACAGTACTACAGGTAGCACTTGATGGGGGACAGTACTACAGGTAGCACTTGATGGGGGACAGTACTACAGGTAGCACTTGATGGGGGACAGT